GTATGGATTTTGCTCTAAGAAAACTTCTGTTCCCTCCATGCAAGTGTAACTTTTGAAGTTTGTTTGGAGATTGCAGTCAGGGACAGAGCATGGCAAACTCCACTCTTCTCCAGCTTACCCCCAAATAACATTTTTTAAACATTCATGTCAAATGAACCCTCAGGAGAGGGCACTGATGGTGTCAGAGGCAGGCTTCATTGGGCACCTGCCAAATCCATAATCCACTGCCACCCTCAGAGAAGTGTTGAGGAACCTTTGCCCCATAGGCATAATTAGGCCCACCAGCCCTCCCCATTTGGCCCAGGAGGCTGTTTCGGCCAAGCCACACCCACCTGCCCTAGATCAGATGTCAGGTCAGCCCTTGCAAGCACCAACAACCAACTGGGCTTTCAAAGCACTGTACTTGGGGCTTCTCAAGTGCTGGCCATCACGAGAGTATCAGTATGGAGCTTTCAACTCCTGCAGGCCCTCCTCTTTGCTAATGCTGCCTATTCACCTGTCCTCTGACAAAACTGAGGAGATGGAGCAACAACTTCTTCTGGGATGTTGTGCTATTTGAACCCAGAGGGAGAGGGCAAGAGAGCAGCAGTGTCTTGAAGAGGAGGGTGGCTCACTGAGAGCCCCTTAACCAAATGCTCCAATAATAATAATAATAATAATAATAATCTGGAACCTGCATTTGGGAATAGGTTGAGTGGCAGTTCTCACCCATGCAAAAAGAAGTCTTATCTTGGGGCAGGAGAGATGTGAACTAAAATGGCAAGAGCTCACCACCCATAGCAGAAGACTATGTCAGGGGTGAGGAAACTAAGTCAGGGCTGAGGAAACTTTCAATCAGAGAGCTGCATTCCCATCTGGGTGACCTTCTCAAGGCCACATGTCAGAGGTGGGTGGGGTCAGAGGCAAAAGTGGGTGGAGCAATGAATGTAAATTTTACCTTTGTACAATAGGCTGGATTTACATGCCCTCACAAACCCCTCTGCATCCAGAAAAGCTGGACACATTCAAAGTGGGTGAAAACATTTGGGGACTTAGCAGGACCAGTGAGGGGTGTGGCCAGGGGAGAATTCTGAGGTGGTGCAGCCCAAGAAGACCTTTACCACCTGATTATTGCTGCACATATGGATTAGCCTCCCAGACCATGTCTGGCCAACTGTGCATTAAGAAAGATGCATGTCTAACAAGCATCTTGGTTTGCTCTGTCTATAGATGTTTTCTGGCTGCATACCTGGGTGCTGTTTTCCCCCCTTCTTCCTCTTTTCATTAAGCTAGCAGGGAAAAGTAACATGGGAAACGGCCTTTAGCAATAAGCCTTTTCATTGCTCTATTTTGACCCCCACAACACAAAAAGGACCATGCACTTTAAAAATAAATAAAGTTCTCTCATCTCCTATCTAAGCCTGGATCCAGAGCCCCTGATCTTTCTCTGAAACTAAGAGTACAAAGCTGGTTCGTTGTCGTATAAAAATAAATACAGGGGGTGAGAGATTAAATGACTCTGTTCTGTTCAGTGTTGGCATAATCCTTCAGCTTGGATAGGGAAGGGTGATCTTTCAGTTTCTGGAAAACATTACACAGCACATCTATTGTACAGCGACCCTGTGTATGTGTGTGTGTGTTCATTTACGCAGTCAGTTGTAGCTAAGAACAACCTTTGAACATCAAGTACAGATGTGTAGTTTGTGGTCCACTTAGTTATAGCTAAGAACAAACCCTATGCTCACATCAACAAGAGCAAATGAAAGACTGAAAAAACTTGGAAGAACTCCTGGAGATATTGAAAGCCCATGTTCTGTGCCCTTTTACCAAGCACCTTGCAGATGACCACAGCACCTGGAGACAATCAGTCAGGTCATGTATCCACAGCAGTGCCCAGAGGAGGAATGACCACTGGGAGGAGCACAGAGAGAAGAAACACCATGGTACACCTGCTTTGGCACAAAGGGATGCCTTCATCTATCCCATCTGCAACAAAACATGTCTCTCCCATATCGATCTCTATAGCCACAGCAGGCACTGTTACACTCGAACAGTTGCCAACGTCTGCCATAGCTGCTCTCTAGTATTTGCTGCCTGAGGTGGTTGCCTCACCCTGTCTAATGACTGGCCCTGAATTTGTCATATGTTCCACAGACAGCTACTCATTTCCCACAATTTGGGAGCATGTCTGGTAGATAAGACAGAGTTATATAACACTTTGCAGTTATCTAAAGCAAAATTGAGCTGCCAGTGATACTACAATCAAACTTAGGAAATGGGGTCTATAATAATAATAATTTTAATAATAATAATAATTTATTACAGCCGTAGGCCCATACAGATAAAAACAAGACATAAATAACAGCCTGTGCACATGGGAAAAAAACAGCCGCTAAAACACTACTATAACAATAAGCTACTATAAGGTGGAATGGCATACTACGCCTTAATTAGCTTGTGGTGCTCCTTGGCGACGCTTTTGGGTAAGGACAGCGACCAGGAACCTAGCCACTTTCAGGGTCGTATGGGCATCCTTATCCTGCAAGATTTGGGCAAGGTGGAATTTTGGTGGAGTACCCTCTAATTTCTGTATGATTGATCCCAACAAGTTTGCCCGTGGCACCTTAAATAAGGGGCAAGTGAACATAATGTGCTGAAGCGACTCCGGCATCTCCTTATCACATTCGCACATGGCGGAGGTTTGGCCCTTTGAGAATCTATGTCTCAGGACATTGGAGGGAAAAACATTAAACCTCGCTTTGGTGAAGGCCAGCCTATGGGCAACAGTCGAAAGGGAGGAGAGGTATGATGGAACGCAATAAGTTAAAGTGATACCAATGTTCTGGGGCGAACAAACACCTCCCCCCAGCATATAATTTTGCTGTAAATCGATGTCATCCAGTCTTTGGCGGATCAGTCTTTGAGCAGTGATTTGATCTAGTTTTAGGGAATCTAAGGGAGAGATTCCATAGCTCAGGAGTTTGGCATGAATTCTACTGGTCCAAAGGCTGGGGAATTCATCTCGCCATAAGCATTGGGCAAGGTAATGGTCTGGTAATCTATGCCACAATGATAACCAATAATTGAAGACTTGCTTCCACAGGCAGGTTTCTAAGGATGCGATCCTCAATTCTAAACGCATGGCTGCGTTGCTTACGCACAGGGGGAGCATTAGGAGCCGACGTAGGAATTGGTTTTGCAAAGTCTCAAGAGGAGCAAGGTCTGTCATCACGACCCAGAGCGGGGCAGCATAAGCAAGCACGGGAACCACTTTTGCCTTGAACACCTTTAGGGCCGAGGAACATGCAAAGCTCCATCCGAAAAGAAAAATCGGAGGAGCGCATATGACAGAGTTTTGGCCTTATTAAGTAGGTGTTGAATATGTGCTTTCCACCCCAAATTGTATTGAAAAATAACTCCTAGGTATTGAAATTTTAGGACTTGCTCTATTTTTGCTCCACCAAGTTTCCATTCGTATAATCTCCGACTTCTGGCGAAAATCAGAATCTTAGATTTAGCATGATTGATGGTTAATTGGTTGAGTTGACAATACGTGGCAAAGATCTTCAGAGCTCTGGTTAGTCCAACACGTGTATAAGATAGAATTACCGCGTCTGTATCCATGTCTGTGTGTGGGGAGAGGAAGGGGGTTCTGTGGCCATAAAAGCAAGTCAGGGAGCTGTTTTTGCTATAATGGCTCACATTTCACTTAATCCTTTTTCAGTAAATCACAGATCAGTGTGGTGCAGTGTCAGTCTTGTCTCCCAGGCACTACAGTCATTTGGTTGAGTGGTTTGTTTGCTTTGGTCTTGCAGACAATTAAGGTAGTGAACTCTGTAGTCTTCTCCTTTAAGCATCAATTTGATTGAATTGATTAAGGATTTCCTGGGTCCCAGTAACTACTTCCAGTCTTACTTTTAACTGATTGGGGATTGCTTGGAACTCAAAATACACCTTTAAGAAACAGAGGCAGTAACGGTGTGGTGTGGCAGAGCTACTTTCCTGATACTGTCGTTGGATGGGGCTGGGGTGTTTCAGTGGTGAGGTCAGGGCCACATTGGTACACTGGTGGGAGCATCAGATTGGTGGTGAAAGCCGTCCTGGGCAGGGCTGTCTTAAACATATGTGGCACTGGGGTGCAAAAATATGCTCCCCCCCCAGGTTGCCCAAACCCAGGCATGCAGGAGGGTGGAGCCGGCCTGCTGCCTCAGCGTCTCGCTGGCACGGTCACCCCTGAACTCGCGGCGCAGAGCCGCTCGCAGCAGAATAGCCTGCCACAGCGCTCCGACCGACAGGCGGGCTGTTCCCTGGACTCAACTCTTGGGCCCCAGACTCTCGGCCTGGTCCCCCTGAGAGCCCGGTGCCCGGGTGCCCCGCACCCCTAGTGCCTATGGGTAAGACGGCCCTCATCCTGGCAGTGCAACTGTAGAGCCACAATCTCTCAGCCACTCCAGCCCTGTCCAGTTAAGAAGCAGTTAAGCTGCATGGTTCCACCCTGCCATGTGTGCTGCTATTGGGTGGCGGTCTCTTGCATTAATTCACAATAAAGCCTTTCTTTGTGTGCCTCGTCCTCGATAGGTCCGGAGGGTGGCAACATGAGAAGGGGCCTTCTCTGCAGTGGCTCCCCATCTGTGGAATGCTCTCCCCAGGGAAGTTTGCCTGGCGCCTTCATTATTCACCTTTAGGCTCCAGGCAAAAACATTCCTTTTGAACCTTTGCTTGATTTTAATTGACATCCTATGCCCTTTTAAAATATGGGAGTTTTTGTTTATTATGCATTTTGTGGTTTTATATTTTGCTTTTATTGTGTGAACTGCCCTGAGACCTCCGGGTATAGGGCAGTATATAAATTATAAAATAATAATAATAATAATAATAATAATAATAATAGGCTGTTATTGTGGAGTGGGGGAAGCCCTCTCTTATATTAAATTGTATCAAAGTTCTAGATTCAGGTAGGTAGCCATGTTGGTCTGACGCAGTAGAAATATATATAAAAAAATATAAAAAAATGTCCAGTAGCACCTTAGAGACCAACTAAGTTTCTTCTTGGTATGAGCTTTCGTGACATGAAAGCTCATACCAAGAAAAAACTTAGTCGGTCTCTAAGGTGCTACTGGACAATTTTTTTATTGTACCAAAGTGTTTGCCGTCAGCATGCACAAGTTTCCAGCATTTATTTTTAAGACAAGGAACATCTTGTCCACTATGCCTGTCTGTTATTGGACGGGCAGCCTGGGTGGGGGTTGCCTTAGTTTACAAAGGACTTATTGGGAGGAGCAGGTTCACATGTGGTTGATATTTGGGCAGGATTTTCGAACAGAAATCCCAGAGCAATTCAGCAGAAAGCATAGAAGGTCTCTTCAAATGCAGCACAGAAAGCTTCAGTCTTCGTATCCACATGTGGAATAAAAACAGGAAGTCGTTGCTCCCTAGGTCATTTTCACATGGAATATTAATCTGAGCAGACGACAGAGCTTTTTTCCAGGACTTGAAGAAAAAGCTACAAAACGTCCAGGAGAATGTCATGATTAGTCTTCTTATTTCCTGCTTAAATAAACAAATTTGAAAAAGGGTCTTTATGCACCAAAGAGCTCTGGCGTTTTCTATCAACATATTTCAGTGTGGGGTTTTTTTTAAATGAACAAGTGGTTCTAGTTTCTTTCAGTCCTCTCTTATATTAAGTGGCAACGAAAGAAGTTTAAAGACTGTCTCAAGGCAAATTTTTAAAAATGTAGTATAAACACCAACAATTGGGAAACACTTGCCTGTGAGCGCTCCAGTTGGAGAACAGCCTTTACCAAAGGTGTCATGGGCTTTGAAGACACTCAAACTCAGGATGCAAGGGAGAAACACTCTAAGAGGAACGCACATTTGGCAAACCCTTACTGTGATCAACTCCTGCCCGGAAACCAATGTCCCCGTTGTGGAAGGACGTGTGGATCCAGAATACGGACTCAGGGTTAAAACCGTGTTTATGGAAGACAATCTTACTCGGCTACGAGTGATCACCAAAGAAGAAGATCTTAAGTGGTTCTTTGTCATGGAGTGCAGAACCAGCCTAAGACATTTTCTTGCGGGAGGGAGTGAAGGACGAAGCCCTGTCACAGAAATGGCTTGCTGTGTGGGGTGGGACTTGCTCCTCTAGCTTTTTGCAGGTGGGACCACAGTTGCTTACAAGGAGGGAGAGCGGAAGGTGGCAGGGAGGTCACAGCAGTGCAAATGGACAAAACTGTTCTCTTAGGTCATCTTCTGAGGCTCTGCTGCATCATCTCCAATGGTCTAATGTGCAATGTAACTCACTCTATGTGGGGCTGCCCTTGAGACTGACCCAGAAACTCCAGCGGGTGCAGAATGCCGTGGCGAGACTCCTTACAGGGTCCTTGCCACGGGATCACATTCACCCGGTGCTATACCAACTGCACTGGCTCCCGGTGGAGTACAGGGTCAGGTTTATGGTGCTGGTTTTAACCTTTAAAGCCCTATACGGCCTAGGACCCTCATACCTATGGGACCACCTCTCCTGGTATGTCCCATGGAGGACCTTACGGTTTTCAAATAAAAACATTTTGGAGATCCTGTGCCACAGGGAGGTTAGGCTGGCCTCAATTAGAGCCAGGGCTTTTTCGGCCGCGGCCCCGATCTGGAGGAACGCTCTGTCACAAGAGACTAGGGCCCTGCAGGATTTGACATCTTTCCGCAGGGCCTGCAAGACTGAGCTGTTCCACTAGGCCTTTGGTCAAGGCACAGTTTGACCCCATCCTTTGGTAATCCTCACAGAACTGTAGCCCAATGGTTGCCATTAATTTGATTTTGAATTGATTTTAGAATGAATTGATTTTAGAATGCATTTCAATTGATTGATTGTGATTTTACGTGAACTGTGGTTTTTTTATTGTTGTTGGCCACTCTGAGCCTGGCTTCGGCTGGGGAGGGCGGGTTATAAATAAAATTATTATTATTATTATTATTATTATTATTATTATTATTATTAGGTGCCTATACAAGGCAGGACCTTTATTAGGCACTAGGTCTCAGGTTGCAAAATATACTTCTGGTGGAGACTTGTATGCCCTACTCATTAATGAACTCTAGACAGTAGGGGTTGTATTCAACTAAGTCCTACTCAGAGTAGACCTATTGAAATGAATGACCCTAAGTTAGTCATGCTTATTATCTTCATTGGGTCTACTCTAAGTAGGACTAGTATTGAATGCCACCCTAGATTTAAATCTAGATATTATCATTGCCAAATCAAGGGCTTTTACTTCCTGAGGCAAAGAACAAGATGGCGTCTTCTCCCCATTGCATGTACAGAAGCCGACTGGACTGGAAGTAAAATTTGGGGATGGAATAGCATCTTCCGCTGCACCTGAGGCAACAGGCCATATTAGGGGGCCCAAGGCAGGCATTGTGGCAACAGAGAAGAACAGTTAATAGGCTCAGGAAGAAGTGTTTCTGCCTAACAGTAGAGTCGGCCCTGACTGTTACCTTTGTGGTAGTAGATGCCATTTTCTTCTCAGTCATATCCCCTCTGGAAACTAATTCTTTTACTCCTTCAGGGTAAACGTGGTGAAGGCAGGGTAAAAACAGCTGGAGGGTGTAGAAATTTCAGAGGAGGGGAGGAATATGCCTAAGACATTTTTCTTTTGTCAGGCTTTTGACATGCTGTTGATTGCTTTCCTCTATTTTTAGTTTTGAATGCTCTTTTAAGCTATATTTATATCTTATTGCTGTTAAGGCACCTTGGGGGTTCTTTACAGGTGTCAAAATGTTTTGGAAATAAAGGAGGTAGGGAAAGAGCTGAGGATTCCTTTTCCTTCCCCAGTGCCGAAGGGATGCTTTGCAAAGCTGGTCAGAGCCGTTGGGATTTTGTTTAGACTGTGGCTGCATTATCAAGTGTGGGTGTGATGCACACAATATATTCTAAGGAAATTCTCAAGAGGTGCACCAAGCAGCATCAGATACCGTTGCCATGCATGATTGCTCAGTTTGCCTGATTACTTAAGCTTCTCTGTCTAGAAGAAAAACTGGTTTTACATGTGCCTAAAGGGAAATTAAAAAGTCAGCTTCAAATATGCAGGCATGACTTGTTTTTGTTTTCAAGTGCGTTCTAAGAGAGTTGAGCCAAGGTAGCTTAGCCTGAAAACTGAGATTCAGAAATTCAGATGCTTCGTAGCTAATCGCTGCAGGGAGTGCTGCAAGAAAAGGTTGAGCCCATTGTAAGGAGCTTATAATTCAGCAGAGGAAACAATTGCAGATGCAATGCCGCAAGTTGTGCAGGAGCACAACCTCCACAGATAATCAGCAGGGCTTCTGGAGTCCCCAGCTGAGTCCAGGACTGTTCCAACCCACCAGGCAATATGAGTGGTTGTGGGGGTTTTAAAGGGTTTTAGATACCAACGCTTTTTCATAATCTATACCAGGCTTCCTCAACCTTGGCCCTCCAGATGTTCTGAGACTACAATTCCCAGCATCCCTGACCACTGGTCCTGCTAGCTAGGGATCATGGGGGTTGTATGTCAAAAACATCTGTAGGGCCGAGGTTGAGGAAGCCTGAGCTGTACTTCCTAATTGCAACTTTTCAAAGTGTGGGTGGATTTACACACAGAAAAAAGCACTATACATAAGTCAGAAATTATATCGTTATAACAAAAAGGGGGGGCGCTATGGAAAATTGCAAATAATTTCTTTTGCTCTCCAGCGCCATTTGCTATTGCAGGTTTATAATGCATTTAAAATGTAGTTTTTTGACTCATGTATCTGAGTCCTGTGTCAGCTCTCTGAGTCTTTTTTCCATTATATGACCCTATCTAATAAAAATTAAAAACTGATACAACTCTGGCCAAGTAATTCCTGCATTTTTCAATTATAATTGTAACATGTGTCTCTCAAGAAACATTGTGCATTCTTATAGTAATATTTTAGTCAAAATAATGCATCACACTTAAGTGCCTCCTGATTCATGTTTCTCTCTTTCTGCTGAACATCTGAGTGTCCATGAACTGGTAATAACTGAGAGATTCCTTGCATTAGCTTTTAAAAAATATTGTAATTTACAGTGGAATTGTCATCTGAAATGCTTTCCTGCCCCCATTCCATTTTGCCAAAGGGGATACATTCAGGTTATCTTTTCCCAATAAAGCTGTCTCTGTTTGCACCCCATGTCTGTTATTTTTCTTGTTCATAAAAGTTAACAAGTGCCTAATTTGATAGGCTTCGTAATAAAATCTGAGATGGAGGATTACTAAAAACGTTTTTGACACCTACCTACTGTAATGAAGTTGGAGTCCATTGATGCTGGGAGAGCCACAGGTTCCCCCATCCCTGGCTAATGTTCTGATAATTGATTCACAGAGTTCACAGTCAAAAGATATGCAGCGACGAGCGCGCTAGGCGGATGCAGTGATGAGCAGTAGGTTTACTCTGCCTTGAGTTCCATGGCAGAAAATTGAGATATAAATGCAGTAACTAGAGTTTTCAGCTCCTTTCATCCATAGGATTTAGAATGAGGCTTTAGGAATGGCTGGATGAGCATCATCAGCCTGGTGAGGTCCAGGGGCCAAGGTTCACTGAGAAGCACAAGGGAGAGAAGATTACTCAAGAGACCCAACAGGAGGTTCCTTACTAGCAGAGGGATAGAATGGAAGGAGGCATCTGCCTGGGAACTCAAAGCCAGAACCATCAGGTTCCCCCTTCCCTCATCTGACAGCATCCATTCCATCCAGTGGCAATAGAAGAAGAAAAAGGGACACAGGACCACTCCATCAGCTCAGCTGAGAAGCCAGTAACTTTTGACTCCTCTTTTCTGTTTGTAAACTGTGTTACTTTTATTGTTGTTAGCCGCTCTGAGCCCGGCTTCAGCTGGTGAGGGTGGGATATAAATAAAAAAATATTGATGATGATGATGATGATGATGATGATGACAAGAATTCTGCATTTAAAAAACTAGTGTTTGAGTTTGTAAAAAAAGCAACCCTTTTCATTTTGTGTCACATCTTTTAGTCTACAAAGCTGAGGACAGGGCCTGTTTTATCACTGTAAGCAACTGTAGCAGCCTCTAGAGCTGTATAAGAAGAATAAGTATTGTTGTGAATTTTGGTAGTAGTGCAGTTAGGCTGTAGGATGCCTGAGCCCCTGCTAATTCCTGGACCCACAAGGGTTAAAATCTAATGGAGAATCCCATTGTTGAATTATACTGGCCCCTAAGTATGGGTCATTAGTATAAGAAAGGAAGTTGCTCTGTGCCAGAGAACACATGGGTGGGCCCCCTCCCTCACCTGGCTGGTAGTTAGGAGGACAACAGCCAAAGAGTTTTGTTTTGTTTGGGAGCTGATCTAGAAGCAGGCAGAAAACTGAGAGCGAAAGCCATGCTTGATTTCTGCTTGAATCCAAGGCTGTGACTATGGGAGAAGGGTGTTAATGCTGTGAGACCCTCCATCTTAGGCTCAGGTTGTATATATGGGTAAATAAACCATATATCCTAAAGACCCCACAGTTTCTGTTGTGCTACATTCCAAGGAAACTGAACCCCAGATAAGCGCCTGGAACCCCTGGGATCTTGCACTGCTCAGAGTTTGGGGTGGCATACAATGGTATGCAAATACATGGCAGTGAGGAGATGGCTCAATGAGTTCCAGGATCCAATGAAGAGAGGGTTAAAAAAAACAAAACTTTCTAAATGTCCAAGCTTGATCCTACAGGTATAGAGAAATGGTTCGCTGGCTGGAGTGGAGCCATTACTCTAGCTTTCCAGCAGATCAGTCTCTGTTGCTTACTGATAGGAGATGTCCAACTCTACGATTCTGTGATCCTTTGAATTCCTATGTAACCATCACATATTTTCATTGGTGTGTTGACAGATGCTGTTCGCAACTGCTTCTATTCATTCAGCTTCATTAATGATGCTTTCTAGGAATGAATGGCAGAGGGAGAGAGGGAGAGGGAGAGAGAGAAATGTAATTCGCTTGGAACCTTCTACACAAGCCCACGTCTCATTCTTCTCCTGCACCTGCTACCTGGGAAATGAATTGAAACAGCCCCCAATCATTTTTTTCTTTTGCACAAATCTCATTGTTGAATCAAGGTTTCCAACAGTAACATATCTATTCTATATTTTGCATTCATAGTCTTCACAATATGTCTTCCAATGGGGGGAAAAATAAGAATTCACATTAACTATTTCTTGTGGGAAAAACTCCAGTTTTATACTGTTCTCGTTAAACTTACGTAGTTAAAGTCTCCCTGTTTTTTGTCTCCCTATTCATGTAAAATTAAATGTAGAAAATTTGTCTTTCCTTTCTGGGCTGCATTCCAATTGTTGTTATACAAGTTCCATTTAAAAACATCATGATGGGGTTGTCTTGTGTGGACACACATATACACACTGCTATTATGGTGACAAATTTTCAAATGGAAATTCTAAGACAGCAATTGGAAGACAGCCCAGAAAAGAAAGGCAAAAATTTGTATGTTTTATAGGAACAGGGAAACAAGGCAACATGAATCACTGCTGAGGTTTCTCCCACTTTCCGTTCCCATCTCCACTGGAGGTTGGGTGAGTGCCATGGGCTCCGCCATGATCACCCTTGCAGCCTTGTGACTTTTGAGCTCCAGAATTCCAAACTCTGAAGAGGCTGTCTTTGGAGCAACTTCTGGTATGCCAGTTATTCCAACCTAGCAGTAGTGGCTGGGGCTCATTGGGACTGGCAAGGCAGACATCAGGGAGACAGACAGTAGGTGGCGCCAGAGGCAATGACAGGGGGAGCCAGCGCATTCTAGGCTGGCTTGCATCCTCCTCCCTGCTGCTTTCTAAAATGACAACACAAACACTCTAGAATCTAGTCTATGGTTACCAGATGTCCCCGTTTCCAGGGGACAGTACCCGGATTCACAAATCTGTCCCCGGACAAAATCCGTTCCTGGAATGTCTCCAGATTTCATTTAATGTCCCCGGAGTTATATTTTAAGTGTTGTAGATTTATTAGTAGGGAATGAATGTTGTGTGATTGGTTCAATGGCACAAGTCACATCATATGGGGGCTTCCGGTGAGGCAAAATGGCAGACGCCATGGCAGCGAGCAGCTCCTGAAGCCAGCCAGAGCCAACTACACTACCAGGCTGGCTCTAGGCTGCTGAGACTGCTGCTGCCACTGCCACTGCCAAAGGAGAACCAGGGACGCCCAGCGTGTCAACTGGGGGAACCGCTGACTCCCCCCCCCCCCACGGCACAAATCAAGCTGGGAGCAAAAGTGCCTGGCCGACTGCCAAGCGGCGCTCAGGGACCAGGAAAACCCCTGAGCTGATGCAGGGAGAAGGAGGAGAGAAGGAGGAGAAGGAAGAGAGAGAAAGAGGAAGGAGAAAAAAGAGGGGAGCCCTGACCTTGCGGTGCTGCTGCCGTCGCTGAGGAGAAGTGGTAGGAGAGCACCAGGAGGGCAAGGATTGATCCCAGGCCCGACCTGAGCCTCCATGGCGGCTAGCACTCCAGGCTGGGGCCCAGAAGAAGGCCACGCGACAAAGGAGACCATAGAAGAGAAGATATTACTTCTTTTTAAAAAAATAATAATAATAACAACTTTTTTAAAAATAACTTTTTTTCTCCTCTTTTCAAAAAAAGTAGAAGTGTCCCCAAATTCGTTTTAAAAAATCTGGTAACCTTAATCTAGTCCAAACCCCTATGGTTAAGGAATATGCAGCTGTCCCATCCAGGGATCAAACCTTCAATCTTGGCGTTATCAGCACCAACTGAGCTATCCAGGCACAAGAGGAGGAAGAAGACAGCCAGTGCCACTCCATAGACTGGTTGCAAGTAGAAGACAGGCAGGTGGGGGGCTGACTGAGGGTATACTGAGGTTGGTGGGGCAACCCTCCTTCCTTCCTTCCTTCCTTCCTTCCTTCCTCCCTCCCTCCCTCCCTCCCTCCCTCCCTCCCTCCCTCCCTCCCGTGCTTTGCTTTGCATTTACATCATCTGAAGAAGACCTTGTGGACTCAAGAGCTTGCTCGCTGTTTGGTAAGGTTTGGATTGGCATTCACAAAATTTGGGGATTTTTCAAAAATAAAATAAAATGGCAGTTTAACCCTTAGCCATGCGTGCTAATATACCCGATCTCTTCTGGCTTATTCATGGGTTTCTCTCTGATTAGCATTTATTAATTTGGCATTGGAGGATTGGCAAATCGCACCCAGGTAATGACATCATCACCCTTCGGCAACATAAGTCATCCCTTTGTCCAAGTCTGTCTAGGCAGAGAAAGATACTTTAAAGGCTGTAATCTTATACCCGCTTACCCATGAGTAAGCTGCATTGCACTCAATGGGATTTACTGCTTAGTAGACAAACATAGGCTTGTGCTATAAAGCAGGTTTTGTCTTTATTACGATATGCTGTTCCGAACAGCCTGCAAAATCCCCATCTAAGCTATGATTTAACGCCATATTTATTTGCTAATTAACATGTCCTCTGGTGTGTGTGTGTGTGTGTGTTTCTCTCTCTCTCTCTCTCTCTCTCTCTCAAAGGGTTGAAAGCTAGCATTCTGTATAAGAGAGCGTGTCAAGTCATACCACATGCAGTGACAAATGTGCATTATACAAAGTGTGTCATGGACAAAATTAGTTTACAGTCTTAGCTGGCAGCATTTCTCATCCCTGTGTTCTGAATCACTTTCTCCTTCATCAAGCCACAAATTAAAACTGTCCCAGTGTGTGCATATATTACATTTCTCCTACGGTTGGGATTAGTGACTGAGACACGGAATTAGCAACGTGCTGTACTCATTATGATATGGGCTGTATTCTATTAAATTTCTATTTCTTTGAAACAAGCAGAGCCATGAGTTGGTGGTTGTCATGTTTCAGTTGCCTGCAGCCAGCAAGGCTATTCCATGCAAAAAGCCAATTAGCGCCCCTCCTTCCCTTGCAGCAAAACAAACTCTACAGTCAACAAATTAATATATTTGATTCTCAGATGCAACAGACCCATGCTCAGAACTTCTGCATATTACTGTGTTTTGCACCAAACTTTCAGAAGCGTGTTCTGAACAAATATTTAAGTACACCTTATTTGCCATCACAGGCGCAGCATGATCCCTGCAGCATAGTAAGTAGGGTTGCCATGTGTCCAGATTTTCCCAGACATAGGCAGAATACTGCAGTTAGCAGCAGTGTCCGGGTGGAAATCAGGCAAATGTCCAGAAAAATCCAGATGTATGGCAGCCCTTGTTGGCAGTGCCACATTTGCCTTTCCCCATAAAAATAGCTCAAAAACGGCATATTTTCCGATTTTGCCCGAAAAGCTCAACAACTTTGCCGGATTTTCACTGTTTGAAATATGGCAATCCTAGTGGTAAGGGCCAGAAAACATAGAAATAAACACAAGAGATTGGCATTGGGTTGAAAGAGGCCACAACCTTTTACAGATTACAGATGTAAGTAGATTTTGGCGAAGGCACTAGGTATGTATCTGGTATCAAGCAGCCCGCCTGCTGGTTGATAAATATGGTGGGGTCGACCCAGAGCTCAGGAGTCACGCCTAACATGGACCGGATGTTATCAGCCCCATGTGGGCCACCATTGAGAAAGGTGCTGGGCCCATTGGCCCCCATGTGGGCTCCCGAACAGAGAGACCCTTCCTGGACCTCTTTAACAGGGGGTCAGCTAAGGATCCAAGCCAATGCCTTATCCACCCAAGTTGTGACTGTTGCTGGGAGGCAGATGAAAACCTGCAGAACAGCCACTTTGTCCGCAGGAAAAAAATCCACTCTGGCCCTGAATACATCCACTGAATGAACCATAGCAATGGCCTCAAGTCAGCCTGCCTGCTCACCTTTGTACAGACCTCTCCCAGTCTGGGTGGGCAGGTGATCAATCCAGAAATGGCCTACGAATAGAGCTCACTCCACAACATCACCCTCTTAAGTACTGGCAGGGGGTGGACCTGATCCACCCTTTCCCCTGCGACCAGATTGGCCATTGCGATGGGCCCCTTCCCTGTCAGCCACTGCAGTTGGAAATGGGAGGCTCCAGACTTCCCTGCTATGGCCGCTGTAGGGTTTACACTCCATTTTGCGAAGGCAAACCTCACACAAAGACGTGCCACAGCATGTCAAGGAGCGTTACGCTTGCTTTCCCTGACCTTTTGCCTTCTTGGGTAGAAGACAGGGTTTTCCCCCTGTTTGCTTAGACATATCGCTTGGCTGGAGCATGGCGGGGAAAGCAGACGTTATCAAGTATCGGGGAGGGGGAGGACATTTGAGGGAAGCACCTGCCGACATGTGTATTTGCTAATGCTGGAAATGTCCTTAGATGGAAATATGTTAAAGAAGTTCAGAGTGGTTTCACTACTGCTTTCCAGCTGTTGATTTTTGCCAATAAAAGAGGCTCTGCCAAGCTAGCCGATAGCTTGCTTCCACACAGCTCACTTGCATTCAACCTCGTGTCATCTCCGTTACTTCTACAGGTGCAGGAGGGTGATGGGCTTATGATGAGGCTACGGTCATACCTCTCCCCCAGAGCCTCAGGTGAGTGGGAACTGTATTGCAACACAACAAATAAAGCCAAGCATGAATAAGAGAGCATGCAATAAATGTGAATGAAGCCATAGCTCAAAGGTTATGTAAGTAAACTAACATCAGGACTACAGCTCAGGACTACAGGGTCTCTCCATCAGCTCACCAGGGATTTCTCAGTGGGTAAAGCATGAAACTTTTAATCTCAGGGTTCTGGGTTTGAGCCGCTTGTTGGGCAAAAGATTCCTGCATTGCAAGGGGTTGGACTGCATCATCTAGAATTGTATGATTCCACATTGTATGTATGTATTGTATGTATGATTCTAGCTGGGCAGAGCCAGATTAAAGTCTTTGTCAGCCCTAGACAGGCACTCTCATAATCATTGGTCCCCAAGACAGAGCTAGTAAATACAGTGGTACCTCGGTTCTCGGAGGTAATCTGTTCCAGAAGACCGTTTGACTTCCGAAACATTCGAAAACCAAGGCGCAAAGGGCTGGCTGCAAGTTCAATTGAGAAAATTGAAAAACACGCAGTGGAAGCTGTTCGACTTCCGAGGTGCATTTGAAAATGGAAGCATTTACTTCCGGGTTTCAGCGTTCGAAAACCGAAATGTTCGGCTTCTGAGACACTCGAAAACCAAGGTACCACTGTACTGGTAATGGCATTTGAGGGGCATTCAAGTATTTAATTGTTAGACACAGCTAGACATAGTACAGATGCATCCTGACTAATCACTGCTCTGGCGGTAGCTGAAAGGTTTATTCGTCTTTTGAGATTTCATGAAATTTGACATCCCATTGAGCCACCAAGGGAAAGAAGTTGTGATACATCTCTGTGATGACACTGAGCACCTCAGAGTTGCCAGCTTGCAATTTCCATAATAGCTCTGTTCTAAGCTCTCTGCTTTGCCTTCCACTCCATTGGCTAAATGGCCTTGAGCGGCTTTGGTTTTCAGCTGTAGCTAATGGAGGTATCAGGCTGCTCTAACTGGATGCTGCAAGTTTCAGACAGGGTCGAGGGGAGTCTTGAGCCTTGTGCTCCTTTGAGGCTAGAAATAGAAACTGGTATCTGTGCAAGTTTTACAACCTGTCCCTAATGTAACATCACAGCGCAGTGAATGACTTGGTCAGGAGGCCAGGAGAAAGAAGAACCTGGAGATTTAAAAGAAGAACTAAAAACATCTGAGTAAACAGCACATAGAGGGAGGATATTCAAACCACATGTTGTTAAGAAGTAACCAGGGCAGAAAAGATATTGCAGTAATAATTTGCCATAAAGTGCATGGACCAGTTTCAAGCAGACTTATCCTCCCTAATGACCCCACAGATGGCGACCTCATTATACTTTTATATTTGACCTCTGAACATTCATTGCCTTTAAAAGCCTCCTTCATATTTTATTTTGACCCTGAATAATAGAACACTGCGGTCTTGAAAACAAATAATTTTTTTTTCAGAGTTATGTAATTTTGGATCAGTGGGAGCATGAAAGTTCAAACCTGACTTGTAACACTGTAATGTTCATTTTGCTGGATGCAAATCCTAGGTGACATTCAGCACCAAATGATCATGAAATGGGCTGCATATTTTAATAACTGTATTTAATTTAATCTTTGGGGTATTTTAACTTTTTTGTATGTCTTAAAGTAGGGTTGTAATTTTTTCTTGGTTTTGCTGTTTTATCTTTTGTAGACCATTTTGAGGTTGTTGGGGTTTGTTTTTTCAATCAAGTGGGATATAAATTGTATTTTTTCAAGTCATCTTGAAAGAACCAAGCTTTTGGGTAGTCATAGAGTTTTCTCAATGTCTCTTGCTGAACTGAAGGGACACAGTCCAATTCTATGCATAACTACCGTATTTTTTGCACCATAACACTCACTTTTTTCCTCCTAGAAAGTAAGGGGAAATGTCTGTGTGTGTTATGGAGGGAATGCCTATGGGTGGCATGCCTACGGGTTTTCCTCCTCTAAAAACTACGTGCATGTTATGGTCGGGTGCATGTTATAGAGCGAAAAATACGGTACTTTGTAGGGCACTCATAAGTAAGCCATCAAAGGATTGCAGTCATTGGATGCATCAAGGGACAGAAGATAAATTTGATGCAGTTCACATTTAAAGGTGAATCTAGCTATCAGACACTTTCCAAAGCAATCTGAGAACTGAAACGGATGTCTGTCAAGATGTGCATGTCTCTCAATTTTGCAGTACAGTTCTCCAGCCAAGTAATGTGTACAAAAATGCATATATTAGTGTCAGAGCTGGCTCCAGGTCCCAGCTCACAGAGGACCAACGCTAGCCGGCAGTAATGTACAAAAGTCTTTATTGAAGTACAGTTTCCATTTTCAAGCCGGAGCGCCCCAGCTCTACGTCTAGGGGTTAGATCGGCGAAGCTCCATCTGAGTCTCCGCCCCTGTACACCAGTTTAAGATTCTAGCCTTACTCCACCTCTTACGTCTCTCCTTTCTCCTCTGGGTCCTGCTACCCCCCAGGGTCCCTTCCTTCCTGGATTCTTCTGACGCTGACCCCCCTGACTCCTCCCCCTCTTTTCGGCGGGCTTTGGGACCTGGCTCCCTATCCGGGCTGCCAACTGCGCCGCCCTCCTGTACATTTGAACTTGGCGCGCGCGCCCAGCCTTCAACCTTCCTCTCGACCGTTTCCTCGCTCCCCGATGGAGCGTGGCCAATCCTGACTCATGTCCTCCCACTGGCAGTGCGCCGCCTGATCCCGATGCCTGGGACTCCTCCCCCCTACTGCACTCTGGTGTGGACGCTGGTCCTGATTTCCAACTGCTGCTCTCTGAGTCCCCTCTGGCCCCTTCTTCCTGGGGTGTCCCCCTCGGCACCCCCTTGCTCTGACCAAGGGAGCCCCTTTCTGTGAATCTTCCGATTCGCTGGAAAGACTCAGAGACCTCGGACCGCTGTCATCGCTAACATTTCCTTCGGACTCCTCCCCCTCGCTCTCTATTTCCTCCCTTTCCTGTGCCTCTGCTCCTGAACCCCTGACATCCATCCCCCTCGAAGCCCCCCTTCCCCCTCCCCTCCTTCAGGTGTGGGTACTGGGTGCTCCGTCGTTGTGGGGGTGAGTGCCGGATACAGTTCGTCCCCCGTGGCGTGCATCCAGCCGGATAAGTCCGGCTCGTCCTCCGTGCTCTCGCCGACCTCAATTTCCTCTGCTTCCATCTCTTTGCCGCCGTGCTCGAGCCCAAGGTCCTCCCCCAACACGTCCATGTCCGTCTCTCCCCGGTCTCCTCCGGGGGCGTTGCCTGCCAAGGACCCCCAACCACTTCCTGCGCCACTGCTCCTCTGGTTGAGTGTCCCACCAATAGGAACGGTCTGAGGCAGACCCGAGGGTGATCCCTCCGGGAACGTGCTTCTAGTGCCGGTTCCTCGTCCGAGGTGAACCCCTGGAATGTGCTAGCTGAAAATGTGGGTGTGAAAAGCCAGTCGTCGAAATACTCGGCTGGCATGGGCCTGTGTGGGAAAAGTGCATGGAACTCGTCCTTGAGCCAAGATTCCTCCAGAGCATAATCTGGCACCCAACTGTTGGCGCTAGCCGAGGTACCTTCCTTGGCGAGGAGGTATTCCACTCCCTCCTCGCCCATCTCGAGTCTAAAATCTCTGTGACTTCGTTGACGGGTTCCCGCCTTGGCGACCCCCCCCTTGTGGGCGTTTCCCTGAACGGGTCTGGTGCCGTTCCTGGCTCCTGAAATCTATGAGGTGCTTTGTAGGGCGTGAGCACTGATCTATGGAAAACTGGGTGCATTCTGGATCCCTCCGGCAGTGTCAACCGGAAAGCCACTGGATTGACCTGTGCCTCGACTTGGTAGGGTCCTAGCTGCTTATGCCCTAGCTTCTTCTTCGCTAACGATCTGGCCGGCACTGCCTGGGCTGCTAACCAAACCCAGTCTCCCACCTGTATGTCTTCCCCAACCCTCCTGTGCTTGTCAGCCTGCAGTTTGTATGCGTGCTTTGCTAGTTCTAACTGCCTCCGAAGCTGTTCGTGAACCTCCTGCAACTCTGATGCTAAGGCTTCCGCTGCCTGTGGCTCCCCCCCCCCGCGCTCGCTAATCCCGGGAAGGTTCTGGGATGCCTCCCGTTGTTGGCGAAGAACGGTGTCACCCCCGTGGACACGTGCTTCGTGTTGTTGTAGGCGAACTCAGCGAGCGGCAGGTAGTCCACCCATGTTGCCGGCTGCTGATTTGCGTAGCATCGCAGGTACTGCTGCATGATGGCGTTGACTCGCTCCGCTTGTCCGTTCGTCTGCGGGTGTCTCGCCGACGCTAGGTTGATCTTGACGTTCAGGAAACCCATCAGCTTCTGCCAGAAGTTCGAGATAAACTGTCGCCCCGGTCGGACAGGATAGACCGTGGCAGACCGTGAACTCTGAACACGTGGTCTATGAACAGTTTGGCGGTCTGTTCCGCCGTGGCCACCTTCGCGCACGGAATGAAGTGGGCCATTTTGGTGAACATGTCCACCACCACTAGCACTGCCGTCTTGCCCCTCGAGCTGGGTAGATCCGTGACAAAGTCCAGGGCCACCCTCTCCCACGGTTCGAGCGGTGTCTGCAGGGGTTCGAGCAGTCCCGCCGGCGGTTTGTGCACTGACTTGGCCCTTTGGCAGGTGTCGCACCTCGAGACGTAATCCGCGACTTCCCCCCCGCATCTTGGGCCACCAAAAATCTCTGGCTACTAATTCTACCGTCTTCTCTTTGCCAAAGTGCCCGGCGGTGGGTGCGTCGTGCAACTGCTGCAGTACTTTCGCGCGGAGGTCGTCTCCCGGTACGTAGAGGGCCCCTCTGCGGATGAGCAATCCGTCGCGTATCTGGAACTCGTCGTCCTCCGCCGTGCCCCTTTGCACCTCTGCCATCTTTGCTTGCGCGAAGGGGTCCTCCTGCAGTGCTCGACGTACAGCATCCAGGTCCACGGTTGCTGAAGCGCACGCCCACGCTTTCGGTGCGAAAATGTGCTTGGCCGCTGCTGGTGCCGCCTCCTCGAGGTATTGCGGCTTTCTGGACAGTGCATCCGCCATGATGTTGTTGTCGCCTGGGATGTACTCTATCCTGAAGTCGAAATCCGCAAAGAACTCCGCCCATCGTATGTGCCTCTGGTTCAGGAACCTTGCCGTGCGCCAGTACTCCAGGTTTTATGGTCCGTGCGGACCTGCACTGTGTGTTTGGCTCCAATGAGGAAGTGCCGCCACGCCTTGAATGCTGCATGAATGGCCAGCAACTCCCTGTCCCAGATGGTGTAGTTCTGCTCTGACTTGCTGAGCTTCCTGGAGTAGAAGGCACACGGTCTCCAGTCCCCATGCGGGTCTTGCTGCAACAGTACTGCTCCCACGGCTCTGTCTGAGGCGTCCGTTTCAACCCTCATCGGTCTGCTGGGATTCACATGCAGTAGCTGCTCTTCGGACGAGAAGAGGCGGCTTGAGTTTCTGAAAGGACTGCTCCGCTTGCTCCGTCCAGATGAACTTCTTCTTCTTGGAGCTGAGCGTGTCGGTAATGGCCGCCGTCTGCATCGCGAACCCCTTGATGAACTTGCGGTAAAAGTTGGCGAAACCGACAAACCGCTGGACCTCCTTCCGATTGCGCGGGCTCTTCCAGTCCAACACTGAGCGAACCTTGGCGCTGTCCATGGCGAGCCCCTTGTCCGACAACTTGTAGCCCAGGAAATCTACCTCCTTCATGTCGAACTGGCACTTCTCCAGCTTGGCGTACAGCCTGTGCTCCTGCAGTCTCTGCAGAACTTCCTTGACGTCTCCCTCGTGGGTCTCCTCTGATTCTGAAAATATCAGGATGTCGTCCAGGAAGCAGACGCATTTCTTGTAGAGGAGACCCGCCAATACGTGATGCATGAAGGCTTGAAAACAGTGGGAGCCATTTTGTAATCCAAAGGGCATAACTCTGTATTCATAGGTGCCCAGGGCGTGAACATGGCAGTCTTCCATTCGTCGCCCTCCCGTATGCGAATCAGGTTGTACGCCCCTCGCAGATCCAACTTTGTGAAAACGCGTCCTTTCCTCACCGTTGCGAGCAGGTCATCTATCTTGGGCATGGGAAAGGCTGTGGGCTTGGTTTTCGAGTTCAAAATTCTATAGTCCACCACAAGCCTTTTTTGGGGCGTGTCCTTCTTCTTCACAAAGAATACAGGACTGCCCCCCCACTGCCTTCGACTCCCGGATGAAACCGCGCTTCAAGTTGAGGTCTATGAACTCCCTGAGTTCCTGCAGCTCGTCTTCAGACATGGAATACAGTTTCCCGGTTGGCAGCGTCGCCCCTGGCAGGAGGTCAATCTTGCAGTCATAAGACCTGTGGGGAGGTAGCTTGTCCGCTTCCTTCTCGCAGAAAACCTCCAAAAACGCTGCGTACTTGAGTGGCACTGCTTGCAGCGTGCCTAATTGTAGCTGCGGATCATCCTCTTCCCCTTCCGGGCTAGGCAGAATGCAATGTTCCGCACAGTATGAGGAGCCGAAGGTCAGTTGTCGCTGGTACCACGCCAATGCTGGGCTGTGCCTGTGCAGCCAACTCATGCCTAATACTATAGGCGTGTCCGACAGTTGGGTGACATTGAAGCTGATGACTTCTCGGTGATTCCCAATTTGCATCACCATCGGAGGCGTTTGCTGCACCACCTGCCCCCCCAGCAATTCCCTGCCATCCACCGTGACAACCTTCAGAGGCAGCGTGGCTGGCAGGAGTGCTATGTTGTGCTCTTGAAGGAAATCCAGTCCTATGAAGTCTGCGTTACTACCAGAGTCAATGGTAATCGGCACTTCCATAGTGAGTCCATTGGGTAGTTGGAGCGATGCTGTGAGCTGCACCACTGGTTTGGGCGGGAGGGGTCTGTGGGCTGCAAAATCTCTGGGGACGGCTTCATTGACTTGTCTGGTTGGGCCCCAGTGCCTCTTCCTCCAACCAGACTCTGTCGTTTCCCTGCTGTGGTTCTCTCTGCTGAGTTGCTTCTGTTACTGTTGCTGAGGCTGCAGTGTGCTTGTGGAGCCTCTGGGGACACTCTTTCGCCATGTGCTGAGCACTGTCGCAGATGTAGCACTTCCTGTTCCCTCTAGGAGGCTTCGCTTTGACTGCTCCCGGTGTTAAGGCTCTGGTTGCTGACTGAGCCCTGGCGCCTCCAATCTCCATCGGTTGCTCTCCCCCTCCTTGCGGAGGTGGGGATTGCACACGCGCTGCATCCTTGGGAAAGAGGGGAGGTGCTCTCACTGGCGTACGTCCCCAACGTCCTTCTTCTCTATTCCATGGACGTTCTTCCAGACGCACCCCAATTTGCAGCGCCCGCCGGACAACCTCCTGAGTGCTCTTTGGTCTCTCCCCCCTTGCAATCTCATCTTTCACATTTGCATTCAAGCCTTCCCAAAAAGGTCTCTGGCTGGGGCAGAATCCTTCTCCCATCCCAGCGCATGGACTAATGCAAAAAGCGGGAATGGTACTGCCTTACACTGGCTCTGCCTTGTTTGAGCCCATGTATGTCTTTTCTGGCGATATCAATGTCTATATTTGATAAAAAACACGAATCCATCGCTTTAATGAATGCATCCGCATTTTGGAGCGCCGGATCCTTATCTCTCCACAGATTGCGCAGCCACGCTTTAGCTTCCCCATGCAAATGGGACAAGATAAACCCCACCTTCTCTTGCTCATCTCTAAAGTCTTTATCCAGCAGTTCCAGCGCAAACAGCACGTCTGCTCGGAAGTTAGGGTACTGCTGCAAATTCCCATCGAAATGAGATACCAGGCTGCCTCCTCTTTTCCCCAGCCCAATCCCCTCTGATTTGGGTCCCGGTTGCCCCTGCTTAGCAAGCACTTCCAACCTGGCTTGGAGATCCCTGCAGGCGGCAGCCGCTTCCTCTTCCCTTTTCCTGGATGCGAGTACCTCCGCGTTGAGTTGTGTCACTGCATTTTGCAGGGCTGCTAGTTGCTGTTCTGTAGTCATCTTGCCTGACTTTTGTGAGCTCGCGAAGCACCAATCTTCTTCCCTCGCTGCGTCCACTCACGTTACGAGGTTTTTGGTGCAAAACTTTTAGAGATGGAGCTTACTGTCAGAGCTGGCTCCAGGTCCCAGCTCACAGAGGACCAACGCTAGCCGGCAGTAATGTACAAAAGTCTTTATTGAAGTACAGTTTCCATTTTCAAGCCGGAGCGCCCCAGCTCTACGTCTAGGGGTTAGATCGGCGAAGCTCCATCTGAGTCTCCGCCCCCTGTACACCAGTTTAAGATTCTAGCCTTACTCCACCTCTTACGTCTCTCCTTTCTCCTCTGGGTCCTGCTACCCCCCGGGGTCCCTTCCTTCCTGGATTCTTCTGACGCTGACCCCCCCTGACTCCTCCCCCTCTTTTCGGCGGGCTTTGGGACCTGGCTCCCTATCCGGGCTGCCAACTGCGCCGCCCTCCTGTACATTTGAACTTGGCGCGCGCGCCCAGCCTTCAACCTTCCTCTCGACCGTTTCCTCGCTCCCCGATGGAGGCGTGGCCAATCCTGACTCATGTCCTCCCACTGGCAGTGCGCCGCCTGATCCCGATGCCTGGGACTCCTCCCCCCTACTGCACTCTGGTGTGGACGCTGGTCCTGATTTCCAACTGCTGCTCTCTGAGTCCCCTCTGGCCCCTTCTTCCTGGGGTGTCCCCCTCGGCACCCCCTTGCTCTGACCAAGGGAGCCCCTTTCTGTGAATCTTCCGATTCGCTGGAAAGACTCAGAGACCTCGGACCGCTGTCATCGCTAACATTTCCTTCGGACTCCTCCCCCTCGCTCTCTATTTCCTCCCTTTCCTGTGCCTCTGCTCCTGAACCCCTGACAATTAGGATATATTGTTTGTAAAAATGCATACAGGTCTCAGGATGGGTTACAACAATTTTAAATTAATAATTATAAACAATTAAATCATATTACAGTCAGGGGACTAATGCACATTACAGGTGTCAAGGGCCTCGTAAATTTCTTGCAAAAATGTGTATATGAAACATAATTGCTTAGCAGCCTGTATGTGAGGAGATATTTGCACTAAAATGCTGGTGAATTTTCACGAGGACTTTGAAATAAATAAATTCCAAACTGATTGGAAATGTGGAGTGGCAAAATGAGAAACAGAGAGGAACCAAAATTGAAAGATTTGCTGATCCCTAGATGGGTCCAAGTGAGCATTCTTACTTCATTTCCCTTTTGGCCCTCCTTGCCCCTGAACTGAGCTTTGTGCCACTGCAATTTATTCACACATGCTCCCTCCACTTATGAATTTTTCAAGTCGCTAGATAAAATAATGTTGAATTTGCACAATTGCACGTGTACCTAAAAATGTTAGATGCAGTGTCAAAAAGGATTATTCTCAAAAGGGAGGGAAGAACTTGAAAGCTGGGTGATTGAGAAAGCAGGGCTCTAGAACGGTGATGTAGTCAGGTGTAGAATCAGTCATGAGAGGTTTAGTGGGTGGAACCACAGGCGACATGTAAGAAACGGGTGCATAGAAGCAATGGCAACGATACCATGGAGGCTCTTTTGAAAACAAAATAAAATTCATGCCTCCAGCAAGATCGAAGAAGGGAGGATATTGACCAGGAAGAGGGACACCATTAGTCTGGTTTACAGATCCATCATGAAGACGTTTGTATCTCTAATGAGGTACAAGCTTTTGCCTGAGAGAACCCAAAACTGGGACACTTAAAAAAAGAAAGAAAGAAATGGGTGACAAATCGTGGAATGTAGTGCAAAGTGCTCCACTCTCTTGAGTGTTCATTAGTAGCAGTTTCTATGGCCAACTATAGCTCTGGATGAACTTCAACAAAAATGCAACACAGCACTATTAAAATAAAAGGGGGGGGGGGAATGAACCGGCTTTCTAGAACAGGGCGAAACAACTCCTTGTCAAAAGAGTGCTGCGTTGATGATGCCAGCTTTTGCAGGCAGATGTCTGGCACCAAGGAAGAAGGAAATGACAAGCAGTTTGGGGAGCCATTTGCCAAATGAGAGTTGATGAGAATTTGAAGGGGGTGGAAAGGAGGAGAGTAGGCGGTCTGGCTCAAGGCCAGCAAACAGTTAACTGTCAGCAGCTGTAAGGATAGGACATGGCAGGACTACAGATGTTGTCACTGAGGGCATCTCTGCATAGCAGCTGCCTGCCCTTCAGATTGACCAGTTTGGCACTCCGGGGAAACGTCCCTGGAAAAGGCAGGGATCTTTACTTATTTAATATCATCTCCTTTGTACACAATATACGTTAGATACAATAAGATGAGCCATGCCTGATCAGGCCAGTGGCTCATCTATTCCAGCATCCTGCTCTCACTGGCGCCAACCAGAGGCCCAAACCCACAAGGTAATAAATAACCTTGTTCAACTGGTTTTGTAGCTTCATGTCATTCCATGTTGATGACTGACAGGTGGGCCCACTAACCTCTTAAGAGTTGTCCTGTTGTATGAGGGGATAAAAGTCTTGCTTCCCAGGCCCAAAATGTTTCCCAGCCCTGCAGTAGATTTTCTGGTGTGCTCCAGGTGGAATCCGAAAACATGTTAGTATGTATACTGCTAAGTGGGCTTCCAACATAAGGTGCTGCCTATATGTCCGCTATGCGGTTGCACAATATTGTTCAGAAAGCGAGCCGGACACTTTCTCATCTAGGCTCAGCTTGATGATTTCCAAAATGCATAAACAGGGCTCTCCTTGCTTCTTGTGGGTGTGGCAGGTTGAAGCTCTGGGACTAGTGACGTCTGTGAAATCAAATCAAGCCCATTCAAACGATCAATTGTTTTTCCCGCATAACCCAAACTCAGTATTTTCAAGCTGCTTTCTTTTTGGATTCGACAAGGAGGTTGGCTGTTAAATCTCAGGTTGAGTTTATTATACTGTCGTGAATAGAATCAAAGCTTCCTGTTTGCCGTTATTGCTCTAAACTGAAACCCCAGTGTACGTTCTTATTGCTGTTCTTTTCCCTTCCTTAGTTACTGCTTCCCCCCCTCCTTTAATTTCTTTCTCTTCATTTATAACGTCTCACTTATTTCCTCAGTGAACCTGTATCTTTTTTTTTATTTAAAAAACCCCATTCTTTTCTAAACTCTGTTTCAAAATATGTTCTACCAATGCTATATACGTACAAATATATCGATGCATAAAAACCTCCCACAAACACACAGGTCATTGTTTGTTTGTTTTTTGCTTAAAAGCATGGATGGATTGGGGTTTCTTTTGGTGGGAGGGATGCCACTACATTGTCAAAAATACATCGTGATTGCAATGGTGTGCTTTTTGTGAGAGCAGCAATGCTTTAGCAAACGTCACTGTAAAATGTCCCTCTTATCTTTTGAAATAATTGCATGGCCATCAGCTGGACGATCACTTTGGGGACCGTTCCTTAGTAATAAAAGCATACACTCTGCATGAAAATGTCCCAAGTTCAATCCCTGGCACCTATAGTTAAAATGATCGAGACTCAAAACTCCTTCATGCCGAAATTTATGACAGCTGCAGAACAGATGATACTGCGCTAGATGAACAAATAGTCTGGCCTAGCATAAGGCATATTATCATAATGCGAGTGAGGAATGGTGATCTTAGAGTGGCCATGTGTCCTACTTTACAGAGGACAGTGCTCCATTTGAAGAACTGTTGGAGGACTGCTCTTTGTTTGAATAAATCATCCCTTTTCACAAGCTGCCTGGTTTAAAGAACCTTAAGGAGGTACCTTGAAGATGCTCACCAACAATTGTAACCTGGATACCAGACTCAGCAGGCAGGTACACAGGTCTACAATGGTGAGATGTAAAAGTAAAGGACCCCTGGATGGTTAAGTCCAGTCAAAGGTGGCTATGGGGTTGCAGCATTCATCTCACTTTTCAGACCAAGGGAGCTGGCATTTGTCCACAGACAGCTTTCTGGGTCATGACTAAACCACTTCTGGCACAATGGAACACAGTGACAGAAGCCATAGCACACGGAGACACCGTTTACCTTCCCACTGCAGCAATACCTATTTATCTACTTGCACTGGCCTGCTTTCGAACTGCTAGGTTGGCAGGAGCTGGGACAGAGTAACAGGAGCTCACTCCGTTGCAGGGATTTGAACCGCCGACCTTCTGATCGGCAAGCCCAAGAGGCTCAGTGGTTTAGACCACAGCGCCACCCGCGTCCCGTATAGTGAGATGTATGGTGAGATGTATTGGACTCCAGGTGGTCCAGGGCCTAAACTCTTCACAGTTAAGTAGGCTGGCCAGCAAGTTTTGGCTGTCATAATTTACTTTTTCTATATCTCTTTTGTGTCTATGTTGGCAACGGAGCGGGAAATGGGTGCTGAGATGGATTTGGCTCGGGGCTTCCCATTGCTCATCCTTGCTGTAACATGTTTATTCTAGTACATCTACTGCACCTGTCTGTGCCGCTCTTGCATTCTTGTTTCCTGACCCCACCCCTACTTCTCAGTGAAGTTCTGTTGACTGTTCCCTTTTCAACTTGTATTGACCGTGGGAAATATGAGAGCAGCAGCGAGGTTGGAGAATTCCAAAAGAAACAGAAACAGGAGTGGAAATTGCTGATGTTTGCTTATTTGTCCCATGTCTGGAATGGAAATCAATCCAGGACTTCCGGGGGAGGCGCCTCCGGTAATGGCAGAATTCCTCTGACCGGGAGGAATCTGCTCCGTGGAAATCTGGGTCTGGCCGCCACGGCGAAGGCGGAGACCCGTTAAAATCACAGGCGGGAGAAGCCTGTGAACGTGGGATTCGGCGGGCACCTTTTGCACCTCCCCCACTCGCGGGGAACCCTGGTTTTTGGGGCTCCGGAGCGATGTGGGGTGAGCAGCGCAGTGCATCGAATCGTCTGCTTCTTCCACGGAGCGAAGCCGCATAGCTGCTGCTGGAGAGCGCTGACCTTTTCCTGTGGACAATTTGACTTTAAAGTAATTACCCGTGAGTAGAGCTGAAACGGAAGAATTGGATTTCTAAAAGTTTAATTTGGTATCGTAACAGGGAGGTTCAAAACAGGAAGTCCGCCTTCCCTTTTGTAAATAGACTGAGGCAATGAAGTTGCAAGCTGGAGTCCTGGAAGGTCTTTTGTAAAAGATCAAATTTCCAACAGTTAAGAACATTAAACCCCTCTTGGAGGCAGGAGAAGAGGGGGGAAGTTGCGGATTGAGTATGCCTGTGGGAGAGAGCGAAGAGATTTAAAACACCGCCGCTCTGACCCTGGAAACGGGCTGCTAGTAGGACTGACGTCTTTTGGAATGTTCATTGACAGCGCTTAGAACGTTCATTGACAGCTAGCTAAATAAGAGAAATACATGGTTTCTACTGTCTTCGGCTGCTTTAAAAAGGAGTAAAAGTAACTGAAAATTGAAACTAATTTGAAACTAACTTTGGATTGTTTAAAAGAGGATACTATTGACTATTACAAATAGAAACTGTTTCCCCCTAGTGGAAGCCTTTGAAACTGGTTGATATACAAGCGTTGGACTAGGGGAATTTCCAGCTGCAAGTTAAAAACCGTGAGACTCTGGGACTGACCTTGAATCTTTCAAATGTTTTGGTAAATGGAAGAGGAAAAACAGACCAGTCAACTGTTGATAAAACATTAAGGTCTGGGAGGACTTGGTAACAATCCAGGAGAGGTCTATTATTAGGCCCTCCTGTTCTTATCGTTGCTGTCTTTGTACTAGTATATTTGAAACTAAGAGGAATGTCGACAGAAGAGGCTTTGGTGGCTGCATTATATAAGATAAATGACTCATTGGATCAGCTTCACAGGAAAATGGACATGATAAATGTGAAAGTAGATGTTTCAATTGTTGAGGTTGACTTGAATGCAGGGAGTATGGACAATACCAATACAGAAACCACCCAGAAATTGATACAAGAACATATTCTGATATGGCAAGCTGTGGAGGAAGTCAAGGAAAAAGCTGTTGCTGTTGAAGGTACAGAAACACAACTGGAGAGAAAGAGAAAGAGAGCCCCAGCCATACAGAGGCAATTTGATGAACATAAGTTGACGCTCTCTATGACTGAACTTAAGGAAAAACAGACAAATTTGAGGATTAGAGTTCACCTTTGGTGGACATGCCCAAGGATTAAGACACTCTGGGAGATGATTCATAACGAAATGAAAAAGGTATTTAAATATACCCTTTTGAAGAAACCAGAGGCCTTTCTCCTGGGCATGGTCAGTCAATTGGTGTTAAAGAAGGATAGAATTTGTCTCATGTATGCAACAATAGCAGCAAGAATACTCATTGTGAAGTACTGGAAGACACAAAATTTATCCATTCGGGAAGAATGGCAGATGAAGTTGATGGACTATATGGAATTGGCGGAAACGACTGGCAGAAATCCGAGACCAGGGAGATGAGCTGGTGGAAGAAGACTGGGAAAAGTTTAAGACTATTTATAGAAATACTGTAAAAATAATGAATGTTTGAAAAATGTTGGAATGAAGTTATATGGCTTTAGTAGAAATGCTATAAGGAATTAAGTATAAATAGATTAATAGTGTATTAAAGGGAAAATAAGGCTAGAATATGTTAAGATAATTATAGGATAGAAAACAGAGGAAGATGGAAAGGAATTGCTGAAATAATTAATAGAAGTGGAAAACAGAAAGGGAGGTGTGAGGAGGTCGTGGAAATAAGGGAATGAAAGATAAGACATTGAAATTGTTCCGTGTTTGAAATGGTTTGTGTCATGCTTTGTTAGTTTTATGTTTTTCTGTTTTTTCATTTTTTGTTCTGTTTTTTTTTGGGTCTTTCTGTTTTGTTGTGTTTAAATGGTTGAAAATTAATAAATATTATTTTTTTAAAAAAGGAATGGAAATCAATCCAGAGAATGTGATCAGTATTCCCTGCTGTTGCTGCTTTCACTCTGCAAACATGACATAACTGATGGTGTCCCCACCCCAATTTGTGTTGTCTTTCCTTTGCATTGAAATGAATAGGATGGAGTAACATAATAACAACATAATGTATGTAACTTATGTCATTAATTGCATAGGTTTTGCATTTTTTGCCACAGCAACATGAACAGAGATCTATGGATGGAGGGCAGTATACAAATTTAATTAAACAACAACAACAACATAACTTTTAGTAGGAGGCAAACTGCGGAGGAATGGAGAAAGTGTTGCATGCAACAAATACAGGATAGAATGGAAAATGATGCCTTTTTATCTCCCTAGGGAATGCTGCCTCCATCTAGATCAGGGTAGTCCAACATGTGGCCCACAAGGCCATTTTTTGTGGCCCGCCAGCTCCCCACCCTCTACCTCACCCAGGACAGCTCAGCCAAGCTGGCAGAGACAGCGGCGAGTGTGTGTGCCACAGCCAAAGGCAGGCAGGCTGTTGCTGCTCCTCCTCCTCAGCTGCTGCAGGAGCTCTGGGTTGCCACCAGGCTGCGCTCTTGGGCCTGCTTGGAGCATGGCTGCATGCCCAGGCTGCTGGGGCTCAGGAAGTGGGCGGTGCAGAGAAGAAGTGTGGTGTGTGTATGTTTGTGTTTCAGTACAGAAGACTTTGTTGTATGGGATCAATTCCAATCTGTTACCCCCAAGGATGTGGGCAGGCTGCTTGGATGAGTGAAACCAACTACTTGTCTCCTTGATCCTTGCCCATCCCGGCTTATAAAAGCTAGCCGGGAAGGACTGGGCGATGGGCTTCGTGGGGGTGGTGAATGCTTCCCTCCATGAGGGAGCCTTCCCAGACCCGCTGAAAGAGGCAGTTATTAAACCGCTTCTTAAAAAAACCATCTTTAGATGCGGCCACGATGGCCAACTATCACCCAGTGTCAAATTTACCATTCTTGGGCAAGGTGATTGAGTGAGTGGTTGCTGAACAACTCCAGGCACGCCTGGAAGAAGCGGACCATTTGGATCCCTTCCAGTCGGGATTCAGGCCTCATCACGGGACTGAAACTGCCTTGGTCGCACTGGTTGATGATCTCCGGCGGGCTAGGGACAAAGGTGAGAGCTGTTTCCTAGTTCTGCTGGATCTCTCAGCGGCGTTTGATACCATCGACCATAACATCCTTCTGGACCGTCTTGAGGGGCTGGGAGCTGGGGGCACTGTTATACAGTTGTTCCGCTCCTTTCTCCTGGGCCGTGTTCAGAAAGCGGTGGTGGGGGATGAGTGTTCAGACCCCTGGGCTCTCACTTGTGGGGTGCCTCAGGGTTCTGTCCTCTCGCCCATGCTTTTCAACATTTACATGCAGCCACTGGGAGAGATCATCAGGAGGTTTGCGCTGGGTGTTCATCAGTATGCGGATGATACCCAGCTCTACCTCTCTTTTAAATCAGAACCACTGAAGGCGGTGAAGGTCCTGTGTGAGTGTCTGGAGGCGGTTGGAGGATGGATGGCGGCTAACAGATTGAGGTTGAATCCTGACAAGACAGAAGTACTGTTTTGGGGGACAGGAGGCGGGCAGGTGTGGAGGATTCCCTGGTCCTGAATGGGGTAACTGTGCCCCTGAAGGACCAGGTGCGCAGCCTGGGAGTCATTTTGGACTCGCAGCTGTCCATGGAGGCACAGGTCAAATCTGTGTCCAGGGCAGCTGTTTACCAGCTCCATCTGGTACGCAGGCTGAGACCCTACCTGCCTGCAGACTGCCTCGCCAGAGTGGTGCATGCTCTGGTTATCTCCCGCTTAGACTACTGCAATGCGCTCTACGTGGGGCTACCTTTGAAGGTGACCCGAAAACTACAATTAATTCAGAATGCGGCAGCTAGACTAGTGACTGGGAGTGGCCGCCGAGACCACATAACACCGGTCTTAAAAGACCTACATTGGCTCCCAGTACGTTTCCGAGCACAATTCAAAGTATTGGTGTTGACCTTTAAAGCCCTAAACGGCCTCGGCCCAGTATACCTGAAGGAGCGTCTCCACCCCCATTGTTCTGCCCGTACACTGAGGTCCAGCGCCGAGGGCCTTCTGGCGGTTCCCTCATTGCGAGAAGCAAAGCTACAGGGAACCAGGCAGAGGGCCTTCTCGGTAGTGGCGCCTGCCCTGTGGAACGCCCTCCCTTCAGATGTCAAAGCGATCAACAATTACCTGACATTCAGAAGACATCTTAAGGCAGCCCTGTTCAGGGAAGTTTTTGATGTGTGATTTTAGTGTATTTTTGGTTTCTATGGAAGCCGCCCAGAGTGGCTGGGGAAACCCAGCCACATGGGTGGGGTACAAATAATAAATTATTATTATTATTATTATTATTATTATTATTATTATTTCTTTTTTGCAGTGCAGAGAAGTTTGAGCTTTGGGATGCACCAATTGATGGGGGAGAGAAAGGGGTTTTGGTGCAGAGAAGAAGCATAGGGTGTGTGGGTGGGTGTCTGTGAACAAGCATTTTCAAACATGAACTTCATAAAGTCCAGAATTCGAAACAACTTAGCAGACAATTCACTCAAGAGTTGCCTGCAGATGTCAACAACCAACCTCAAGGCGGACATCAGTCAACTTGTCAAGAATCCTCTCCTATCTCAGACATCCCATTGATATGTGCCTTGTTAACAAAAGTGCTTACATCTGTATGTGTATTAAATCTGTTTAATAAATAAATACATTAAATCTATTTATTGTGCATTTATTTAAATATCTATCATCTATCTATCTATCATCTATCTATATCTATAATCTATCTATCTATCTATCTATCTATCACCTATCTATCATCTATCTATCTATCTAGATCTATCTATCATCTATCTATCTATCTATCTATCTATCTATCTATCTATCATCTATCTATCATCTATCTATCTATCTATCTATCTATCTATCTATCTATCTATCTATCCATCTATCTATCATCTATCTATCTATCTATCTATCTATCTATCTATCTATCTATCTATCATCTATCTATCATTAAATATAATTAAATGTATTGCAATCACTTAAATTTACAATATGGAAATTTAATTCAGTGTGAGGTCCCCAGGTTCTGTGTCAAAGTACTCTTGCAGCCCACTTGGTCTGAGAGCACTGGCGGAGGAAGAGGAGTGCGGGGGGAGTGCACTGCCCCCGGCAGCGCGATCCTGGTGGGGTGCCACTGCGGCTGCCCCATGCCCACACTGGGTGCCCCGCCCCCGCAGGCAGTGCCCCCGCCCCCAGGACGTGCCCCCCCACCCCCAGGACACACACCAGCCCCACCCTCACCTGCTCTTCCCTCCGGCGCTGGAGCATGAAGCTCCGCCACTGTCTGAGAGGTTGGATCGTCCTGAGCTAGACATTTCTTTGCTTTCCCACACTCTGCTGAAATGCGGTGTTTTATATTCCAAACTCCCCTCCACCTCCGCCTCTGCTATATTTTGGAATACCAACGTTTTCTAAAATATTTAATAATTATTGTGAGAGTCATCCGTGAGCTCTATTTAGCAGAGCTAAAACTTTTTAAAGTGTCAGACTGCCAGTGCACGAAACCTCTAAAGGCAGCTAATTGCTAGTGCCCTCTGTTGTCATGCAGTCTGCCATCTGGCGTGCAGAGAACCCAAAGTTAACCTGCTTGACAAGATGGTGAAAACCAGGACTATAAATAAATGCCCAAGGGAGGGACTATAACTGGCTATAACTGGAAACTAGGGTAAGCTGAATGGGGGGGGGGGGGGAGTTACACCAATATTGCATAGACCTTGTGCATGCTGAGTTTCTAGTCTTTGATTGTAGGTTCTGGGATGAGGGGGAACCCTAGCGAAGCTACAGCCATTAAGATACAATAGAGAGCGCCACTGGCACTGCAAGAGAACATAGGTGTGAAGAGAGACTGGGGATCTGGAAAGCTGCCAGGATAACTGTGTGGGAGGTAACAGGAAAATAACGTATTTAGCAGGGTTTTGCTGGGAAGGGGGGGAAAAGACAGAGATCCATCTTTGGCAGGTTGGCTGAAAGAAGGCTAGGAGAGATGGCTTGGACTCCAGTGCTGGACTATAGGGAAGAAGTCCCTCTTGAGATGACCATACTGTAAGATCTGGACACCCCCCCCATCTAAATTCAGGTGTAAATATGTGAATAAACTGCATTTCTTAAAGCTATGACAGCCTCTGCCATGTTTTTAATTCTCTAAAGGGGCACAAACCCTGTTTGAGGGTCTAGGCTCCTGGAATCCTATGCACAGCTCAGCAGGGATTGGGGTGTCCTATAACAATATGGCCCCCACAGTAAAGTATTGGAAGGAATTCTTCTCCTTCCAATAAGGACCTTGGGTATGTGAAGCCAGCCCTGCTGGGTCGGTGTTCACCCCAGTGCGTAATGCTGGTGGTCAACAAAAGAGTTTAAAAGACTGTCTAAACGCAAATCTAAAAAAATGTAGTATAAACACTGACAACTGGGAAACACCGGCCTGCGAGCGCTCCAGTTGGAGAACAGCCTTTACCAAAGGTGTCATGGGCTTTGAAGACTCTTGAACTCAGGACGCAAGGGAGAAACGTGCTAAGAGGAAGGCACACTTGGCAAATCCACATCGTGATCAACTCCCACCCGGAAACCAATGTCCCCACTGTGGATGGACGTGTGGATCCAGAATTGGCCTCCACAGTCACTTACGGACTGTTAAAACCGAGTTTATGGAAGACAATCTTACTCGGCTACGAGTGATCGCCAAAGAAGAAGAAGAAGTGCTTGCCAAGCCTGAAGGGCACCCCAAAGGACCCAATGCCAAGGCGGCAAAGGGTGACAAAGAGTGCCCTTAACCCAATAATGCCTCAGGTGTTTATCCCGCCGGATCTCAAGTTGTCTTTCCTGCCCAGAATGAAATTGAATTAAACCAATAGAAAAAAGCCACTTCATGAACAGGACTCCCAGCAGTATGGAGTAGGCAAAAAAGAGGAGACCCAAGGCCAATCAGAGCTTCCTCCAAAAATTCCTACTCGGCTCCCAAACAGGCCACTAACAAAACCAATCCTGCAGAGGGAGGATGCTGCAAAGAGAAGAGTGGGTTGTTTGGAGCGGAGCCACCTTAAAAAGCCTGGCTCCTCATCTGGGCAAAACCATTTTGGGTCTTCTTCGTTGGGGTGTGGCAAATTTGCCTCCACTTGAAGGTGGGTGTGGCAAAACCTCCAACCATTAAAATGTAAACCGTACCAAATGTATTCATTGCCTCTATTACTGTGTTTAGTGATGGGGGATTAAATTATGTTTGCTTTGCATTTTAATGCACACCTACCTAATTTGTACTTCACACAACGATATGCCAACCAAAACCAATCCTTTGAAATATTACACTGCAGCTCTCCAACCAAAACAGTACAAAAATGTGTATGTTAAGGGACAGCATGGAAAACAATAACATGCAAAGATGCAAAGACACATTGTGTCAGGGGAAATTTGTTTCTCAGAAATGTGTATATTAGACAGGATTGCATATAAAAATGGGTACATTTGGGGGGGAAATTGCAGACTAAAATGGTGACACGTTCTTAAAGGTAAAGGGACCCCTGACCATTAGGTCCAGTCGCGGACAACTCTGGGGTTGCGGCGCTCATCTCGCTTTACTGGCCAAGGGAGCCGGCGTACAGCTTCTGGGTCATGTGGCCAGCATGACTAAGCTGCTTCTGGCGAACCAGAGCAGCGCACGGAAGCCCTGTTTACCTTCCCGCTGGAGCAGTACCTATTTAATCTACTTGCACTTTGTGCTTTTGAACTGCTAGGTTGGCAGGAGCAGGGACCGAGCCACGGGAGCTCACCCCGTTGCGGGGATTCGAACCGCCGACCTTCTGACTGGCAAGCCCTAGGCACTGTAGTTTAACCCATAGAACCACCCGCGTCCCAAGACAAGTTCTTATGAGGACCTAAAAAAGAATTTCACTGACTGACGTGGAAATGTGGTCAGCTGGTTTTAAACCTGGGAAAATGACTAACTGAGAGAAACCACAAGTGACAGATCTATTCATCCTTCCATAACAAAGCAATGGTGCCATCTATAATAAGCAAGCCAATAAAAAGGGAGGGACCAGGTAATTTGTTTCTACATAATTAACCCTTATAGACCAATCCTATTATTCAGAACTACATCGCACTAAGTCCCAAATCAAGATGCAGAGGGTTGTGGCCTTAATAAATTAACGGAATTATATTCCATAATAACTTGTCCACCAAGAGGGTGATTGTTCTTTTGCTAAAGATATACTTGACCTCTGTCTGTCTCACACAATTACCCAACAATGGCCTAAACTGCACTTGACAATATATCATGGTTTAACATGATGAGGATCAGCAGTAGCCAGTTCTAAACCCTTTTCTGCCCAGTGGTTGCCTGCTAAAAATTACCCCTGTAAGAACCCTCTTTGCTTTCTTTCTGTGGGGAAATGTATTGATTCCCAGAGATGCACAAATCTGTCAATTTCAGTTTCTCTCTGTTTCTCATTTTTTCAGTCAGCTCTCCCCATTTGCAAATATTATGGTCATCATGAAAATTCATCAGCATTTAAGTGCAATTTTCTCCTGATACACACGTTTGCCCAATATAGGCATTTTTGCAAAGCAATTCCTCTCAATAGGATGCACTTTTGTATGCTTTTTTTAAAAAAAACAACCTAAAAATTGTGTTTTTGTGCACACTTTATTATAAGCATTTTGGTACACATTATGTGGCTGGATTATGTGGCATTGGAACATTTGCAAAAGGGTTAATTATCAAAGGTGGCTACGCTTCAGTCCATGCATGGTTTCAGAAAGTGCAGATTGGGTAGGTTTGCCTTTAAATCCAAAATGAATAAAATGTATCCCCTCTCCTTATGTGTCTTCAGTCCATGGCTGCATTTTGAAAACGGCTGCATCGGGGACATGCAACTATCCAAAGGTGATGTTAGACAAGCCAGAGGTTTCTCAATCTCAACCCCACACATTCAATATCAGGGTAATAGCAGTGGGCTGCTTGTGAAACAGTTGAAAAGATTACTGAGACAATGCTTTGAATGCCTAAAATTTGCTATATTAATGCAAGCAGACTGGCTACATGTCCTACTTTACAGGGGACAATGCTCTATTTGGAGACATATTCTGATGGGTTGTCTAGTCCAAACCCAGTTTAAATCTAAAGAACAGGAAGGAGGGAGAATAAAGGGCCTTGAATTTCCCCATCAGCAGTTTGGACTGCCAAAGGAGCAGGTACATTGGTCATTTGCTCAGTGTTCCCTATTATAGTGCATTGTATTCATACTTATATTTCCCCAGAAATTTTTGGTGGGCTTCTGTCTTGAGAGTGTGCCTCTGGGGGTGAAGCATTAGCAGCACCAAAGTGACCTCCCTGGGGGCCAGCTTGGGCAGTGTATATGGAGGTCCTGGGCTGCCCAGATAACAAGACCCCCCTCTTGGCCTTGCTGAGGTGGTCCAAAGGAAAGCAGAGCAATACATTTGGCACCAACTTGGCTGCAGGAATTGCTGAAAGGAGGCGTACAAGGTGCCATCCAACCATCTTAGGGACTCCACTCTAGATTTTTGTAGGATTCACTCCTTAGCCTTTTCTTATCCTGGGAAGAAGGCCTTCTCAGAGGGCAAAACCCCACAGCAGTTTGCTTATTTGATCCCTCGCAGCTGAGAGCCATGTGCAGACTAGTTCTTCAGAAGCATAGGAACGCAGGTGTAGAGGAAGCTGCCATTGGTCCATTTAACTTAGGACTTTCTGCCATGATTTGCAGCAGCTCTTCAGGGCTTGGATATACCAGGGATTGAACCTGGGAGTTTCTGCATGCAAGGCCGATGCTCTACCACTGAGCTACAGCCCTTCTTGCCTCTCCAGCACTCTGGACAGCTTGGCTTTCTAATGTTGCTGTTGCTCAGCACTGGAAGGGTTAATCGTTTGCTCTCATTAAGCTATATTCCCATTCTAGCGACATCAACCCCTTCTGCATCTTCAGCCCCACAGGAATTTTTAACCTTCCTGCCCTCTTTCTGGATGATGTCAGAGACAAAACTGTTACCATGGAGAGGAGCAGGATAGACTCTGCAGAGATGGACACAAACATAGCCTAAAACTCAAGCAAACTTGTGATTCATCAACCAAATTGTATGCCATCGTTAAAAGAGGTCACCCGCAATTCCACATAGAGGCTTGTGCTGTGGGAGAGAAGCAGCATTAAAACCTCTCACTAATATGCTCAGACACATTTATGTACGAGAATGCAAACATTCGTTTCACTAATTAATATATGGAATGAAAAGGAAGTTAGTCATCACATGAGTGAATGCTAGAGTCCTGAGTAGCAGATACAAAAATACAGAACGAAAAGTATTGAAGAACATAAAAAGAGCCCCTGGTGGATCAGTCCAGCATCTTGTTCTCACAGTGGCCAACCAGATGCCTATGGGAACCCCACAAGCATGACTTGTGATTCCCAGCAACTTCTGTTCAGAGGTGTAGAACCTAGTCATTGTGGCCAATAGCCACTGATAATGGTATTCAGTAGCATTCCTGCTGCTTCTGTGTAAACCTGAAGATTCCTTTTAGGTGTTGTGACTAATAGGGCTGAGCAATACATTGATAGATTGTCCAAAACTGGTTTGAAGTCCATACTGTGATATTGGTTTCATAATTTTTGACCCGGCAATATATAGCAAATCATGATGTGTCTGTGTTTGTGTGTGCACCTGCGCCTGCCATGGCCATGCAAAACTCTGAACATGGGGGAAAACCATGAAGCCAGCCAATGCCTCTACATAGCTCCACCCTTATTGCAGACAGTATCATATATCAATATATTGTGATGCTTTGCTGATGATATATTGCAATGTAGAAAACCGGATATCTCCCAACTCTAGTAACTTACCATATGCAACTCTGAAATGTGGCCAACAATGGACACAACCTAAAGTTAAGAATGGCCATGTGTTAAGCACTAGATAGCTACTGGTGAAATATGGAGAGACCAGATTGATTGTGATTATGGTTTTTAAATTGTTATTAATTATAAATGCCCCAAATGCACAAGATGAAGAAGGGGTGGGGAGAGAAGAGGAAAGCTCAGGAACCCAGTTTTAAAGCTACATAACCATTCTTATAATGCTTAGAAATAGTTGAGGGAGAGGAGGAGGCATCTCTCCTTCAATTGCAGCCAGGTGGAATGACCAATAGGAGTCACCTAATGGAAGCTGGTTTCTCAGCTGAGCTGATGGGAAAGACCCCATCATTTTAAAAAAAAAAGTGTCAGGTGTCAGGCAGGCCTGAGTGGTGCCCAGATGGGAGCCTTGTGGAAGTGGCCCTGAGCTTTCCAAAGAAAGAACACTACCAGCGTACAAACAAAGGCTCTGCACCCCTCACCCTCCTCCAGCCTGTAAACCTGCAAAAACACATTTCTTGGAAAATATCAGGAAGAAGGGTACATATATAAAAGCATTTTTCACATCAGCCACAGCCATTTGTTTAGCTGCAGGAAGTTGGAAAGGGAAGAACAGCAGTGTAAATATTTAACCAAAGGGAGCTGAAAATGACCATTCGAGGAACTAAGGTTGAGAAAGAAAACAAATTATATAACTTCTAAAGGAGGCCAAAAGACAGAAAACAGTGCCTTGCCTTGAACATGGGACAATCCCATTAGAATATGCAGTGTTATGCGCTTGGAACCCCTGGAATTTTGCACTGCTCAGAGGTTGGGATGGGGTGCAACACCCGTATATGAGGAGAAATTCACACTAAAATGCAGCTGAATTTTCACGAGGGCTTTCCCCCACCACACACACTGATGTGGAAACATGGAGATGTGAAGTTATGTGAGAGAGAACCCCAAATCAACGTATTTGATTATCCCTGCTGACACTGCTGTCTCCCAAATCTCCTCAGTCCTGTTTATGTTTACAGGACAATATTGTTTCTGCTGTTGTCATTGCTGCACTGTCAACGTGCACAGCTCTTCAGAAGATGACAGGTCCCTGCCCAGAGGAACTTACAATCTAAAAACCAACACAGGAGAGAAAAGGAGGGGAATGGAGGTTGATAATGTTGTGCTCTGTCTTGGCGGGCTTGCCACTCGCACTGCTGCCCAGTTGGTCCTCCCACTTTTGAGTAATGCTCCCCAACAGCACAAGCCTAACCATATCTGCTCAGAAGAAAGTCCTATTGAATTCTTTGGGGCTCACTCCCAGGTAAGTTGGGTTAGGACTGCAGCCTCTATCTCTTACGTATGAGCGGAAAGTCTTAGTTATGTAGCTGGGCCAAAGCGCAACCAATTCAACTGTGCTAGCGCAATAGCATTAGACATAGTCCTGACTTTCTCATCTGTACATTGAGAGAGTTTAGGACTGTCCTGTAAATGACTGGGCTTGAATTGCTTTCTTCCAATCAAAGCAAAGTGTTGCCTTTATTCAGTGACTGGTGGAGCATTAGCCAAGATGGCTGGCCGCTGGGCAGGGCAGAATGCGGAAGCTGGAGGTGAGCCGAGGCTTTCTGAAATGATTTAGGCTTTTCAATAGGAGTGTCACAGGACCACAATTGAATAGCTGGACACTGCCTACATCCCGCCATTTCAAATCTCTTTTTGGTCTGAGTTTGCTATGCTTTGGATGCTGTATTCAGTAATCGCAGAAATCAAATTCCTGATCTTCCTTCCTTTTCTGGAGCTGTGAACAAACCAGCTGCCCCCGCCCCTTTCTATAAACAATCACTCCTCCAACTTTCTCTGTCCTCCCACATGGATTCTATAAGTAATTCGCTCGTATATTGAGTTTGTTAGGCATGTCAAATGACAAGTCTGTGGGCTAGATCAAAGCCTGTTTGATGGATCCTATCTGTCTATCCAGACTCCCTGATACATCGTGCCAGCTCAGTCGCTAACATATTGCTGTAAAGAAAAAGCCTTTATGGTGACACACAAAGCACAAAAGCATAGCGCAGCTTGGAAAACATCACTAATGACTTTCCAAATTATCACCATGGAGGTTTAATTCTGAAACTAAATGAAGACATTCACACACATATGAAACGAGGGCAAGCTGCTGCAGTTCAGGAGGGGGCAGGGTGGGACAATACCTAGAAACCCATCCTGCCTGCCTGTGATTCAGGACCACTCTTTCACAGAAACATGGAGCTATGAAGTCATTTTTCATATGGCATGGGATGCTGAAACAGACTTTGATTTAAAGGACCTCTTCTTCAAATCAACTCCTCCTGCAAACGTAAATGCAAGATTGGCCAGGATGAACACTACATCTTCTTCCTGAATTCTTTCCTGCCTCAACAGCATTCATATATGACTCCAAAAATGTGAGGGAGGTTTCAGATAGATTTCTTCAGCCCAGTACATTTCCAAGCGGAATTCAAAGTGTTGGTGCTGACCTTTAAAGCCCTAAACGGCCTCGGCCCAGTATACCTGAAGAAGCGTCTTCACCCCCATCGTTCAGCCTGGACACTGAGGTCCAGCGCTGAGGGCCTTCTGGCGGTTCCCTCACTGCGAGAAGTGAGGTAACAGGGAACCAGGCGGAGGGCCTTCTTGGTAGTGGCACCCGCCCTGTGGAACACTGAACAACCATGCACCGAACAACCACACACCTCTTTTTCACAGCACACAGAAGAAAATGTGAGTGAGTGTGAGATGGAACAGGGAGTGATTGGAGGATACTGAGCAAAAGACTGAGTTTGTAGGGACCTCGTAAAATGCCTATAAGGACAACCTTATTTGGTAAGGCGAAGTGTTAATCTGCCCCAGAATCTTGCCTCTGAGAGCAGACAGTTTGGGATGCTAAACAACTGGAAGGACAAAAAGCACATAGCCTCTCTCACTGAAGTTTCTTGCTAGGGCCAAAATAGATGCAGCATTAAATTGCATGAAACTGAATGCATTTCAGACGCCCAGTATACCTGAAGGAGCGTCTCCATCCCCATCGTTCTGCCCAGACACTGAGGTCCAGCTCTGAGGTTCCCTCACTGCGAGAACCGAGGTTACAGAGTACCAGGCAGAGGGCCTTCTCAGTTGTGGTGCCCACCTTGTGGAATGCCCTCCCACAATATCTCAAGGAAATAAACAACTGTCTGACTTTTAGAAGACATCTGGAGGCAGCTCTGTTTAGGGAAGTTTTAAATGTTTGATTTTTTTATTGTATTTTTAAATATTCTGTTGGAAGCCGCCCAGAGTGGCTGGGGTATAAATAAATAAATAATCTGATACAATAGAATCTGATGCAATAGAATTAATCAGAAGTCCCACTGAGTTAAATGGAACTCACTCCCTGGTAAATATGCTGCCATGTTGGAAAGAGATGATGTGCTGCAGTTCTTGGTGGTAAAGGTAAAGGTAAAGGTAAAGGTAAAGGTAAAGGGACTCCTGACCATTAGGTCCAGTCGTGACCGACTCTGGGGTTGGGGAGCTCATCTCGCTTATTAGCCAAGGGAGCCGGCGTACAGCTTCCGGGTCATGTGGCCAGCATGACTAAGCCACTTCTGGCGAACCAGAGCAGCACACGGAAACACCGTTTACCTTCCCGCCGGAGTGGTACCTATTTATCTACTTGCACTCTGACATGCTTTCAAACTGCTAGGTTGGCAGGAGCAGGGACCAAACAACAGGAGCTCACCCCGTCGCGGGGATTTGAACCACCGACCTTCTGATTGGCAAGTCCTAGGCTCTGTGGTTTAACCCACAGTGCCACTTTGTTCTTGGTGGTACTTTGTACCAAATAACCTAGCAAGACATTTTTCTTTCAGATTTCAATCTGGCAGCCTTAGTTCTTGCCCTCAGTACTACAGGGTTTTATTTTGGTTCTTAATTTTTTTTAAAAAAATCATTTAACAATAATCAGCAAAACAACTCCAGAAAAAAAAGAATATGTATTCAGATCATAATATTCTGCAAGGAAATACGACTTAACATAAAATTACAGTATTTTTTCTTAAAGAATCTCCATCAGCCCAAACCAGCAGAGCCAATGGTCAGGGCTGATGGGGTCTGATGAATTGGGGGTCTGACAACATCTGGAAAGATGTCTTTTGAATGAGCATACAACCTGGAAGTATGAAAGCAGAAAATGGTGCATTATATTTAGTCTCAGAATTCTAGGAGGGGCTTGGGATACAAAAGGCTTTTCATAGAATTGTAGAGTTGGAAGGGACTGTGAAGATCACCAGGCGCAACCCACTGCAATGCAGAAATCTTTCTTTCTTTCTTTTTTGCCCAACATGGGGCTCGAACCCACAACCCTGAGATTAAGAGCCTCATGCTCTGCCAACTAAGCTATCCATCACTGATCGCAGCTAAACATTGTGTAACATTGTGATCTATTTAAACTGTCCGTGAAGGCCAAGCTAAGAACATTTATTTATTTATCTTAAAAAAATTATATTCAACTAATTCATAAAGAAAATATCAAAGTTGTTCACAACAACTGTTCATAAAACCGTACATTTTTTTTAAAAAAAGTTAAAATCAGATCATTGTTGTGAAAAGATATGTTCTCAATTGCCTGCATAAGCATGATGGAATAGGAAAATTTGAAACAGAAGCTCCCTACTGAATCTCTATGGGCAGAATGTTCCACAATACACTGGGCTGATGACACTGAAGTCTTGTTGTTGTCATCAGATGAGCCTCTCCAATGTGGCTCTAACACATGACCTCAGCAATTGAGCTGAAATATAAGGGTAAAAAGAGTCTGGCTGAATCAAACCAAAGGCCCCTCTTGTCCAGTATCCTGTTCTCACAATGGACAACCAGTGTCTTTTTGGAAAGCCCAGAAGCAGAAAACGAATGCAGTAGCAGGCAACCCACTTGTCTTCCTCTGCAGGTGGCATTTAGAAGCATACAGTCCTGGGCAGTGGAGGTGGAAGGCAGTCATGATGCCTAGCGGACTTTGATAGCCTTTATCCTCCACAAATTTGTCTAGCCCCCTTTAAAGCCTTCCAAGTTGGTGGCCATCTGTTAGAGCACTGCACAAGCTGATGCTGAAATTTAAAATGTGCGGCAGTGCTTAATTGCAGCCTCTCCGCCCTTGGATAATAATAATTAAAAAATGACCTACTTGTGGATCATTTGCTAAAAAGGTCCCCATGGTAACAGCCTTGAATAAAGTGCAAGGGGAGACCAACATGGCTGACATTTTCCTCCTAATAATAAAACTGTCAAGGAGGAAAAAGAGAAACTTGAAACAGTTGCAAAGCAAAGAAATGAAGGTGAATTCATAGAGTTGTTGTGGCATCCATCTGTCCTGGGAGAGAATGGAGCGTGGCTCCAGGGGTGAAGTCAAACCATTGGGTTAGCAGCACTGAAGTGATTTCCCTGGAGCATAGGTCTGAAGTCCTGGGCTGTCCAGACAACAAGACCCTCCTCAAAACCTCGCTGACGTGGTCCAAAGGAAAGCAGAGCCAGAAGTTTGGCACCAGCTTGGCTGCATGAGTGGCAGGAAGGAGGCCTACAAGGCATCATCCAACCATCTTCCGGACTCCATACCGGATTTGTGTAGGGTTTACTCCTTAGCCCTTTCTTCTCCTGAAGATAACCCACAAGGCAGCAAAGGATCAGAGTTGTGCCCTCACCCACAATGTCATTGAGCAGGTGTAGATACACCTCAAATTTCTGGGACTACCTACATCTGTTTCATCTGAAAAAAATTAGAGACCTGGCAGGCTTAAATAGGGCAGGGGTTCCCAGTCACAGACTCATCAGATGGCACCATTAATACTTGAAAAAGATAGTTCAGTCGGTAGAACATGAGACACTCAGGTTCTCAAGGTCACGCACTCAAGCTCCATATTGGGCAAAAATATTCCAGCATTGCAGGGAGTTTGACTGGATGACTCTCGTGGCCCCTTCCACCTCAACAATTCAATGAACTTCCCTTTGTTATTGTTGCAATATGTTAGCATTAGGTAACGCCATCCAAACTTACAAGCTATAATCCTCAGTTAGCACAACTAGGTTATACAGTTGCATTCAAATGGAAGCAGATACCGAGGCATGTCTTGTTTTCGGAGTATTATATGTCGGTGCCAGATGCTTGTGGAGAAATGTACCATTGCAAAGGTGATAGGAGCAGACTCGCCTACGGGCACTTTCACAGTTCTGTAATTAGCTGTACTTATCCTCCACCACCACCCCTTCCAGTAGGATAAGTCCTTAAATATAAAACAACAAGAACATAAGGAGAGCCTTGTTGGATTACACCAAAAGCCCACCTAATCCTGCTTCCGACAGTGGGGAGCCATTTGCTTCTGGTGAGCCCACAAGCGGTGCACAGTTTTAACAGCCACCCCTCACCTTTTCTCTCCCTCTGCTCCCCAAGCAGCGATCTGGTTCTTTCTCTCCTAGTATTTGCTTCCTGTTTGTGAAAACTTCTTTGCCAGAGAGTGTGTCTGGACAGAAATTGATGCTGCCTTCTGAGGAAGCCATGTGCTTTCAATGCGCTTTAAATATATGGTGTGGCTGGGGTGTGGAAGATCATTTCACCCATACTTCCACTCCTCAAACGAAGTATGTATTTGAGTTCAAATCCAGCACTTAACTTCTCTTGGAACTTTTAAAAAAGCTCTTAAAATGTGGCCTTTATTGGGGGTGGGGATCATAGCTGAAAGAGCTGCTTGATCCATTACTAATTTTTATGCTGAATAAATAATAATAATATGCTGCCCATGTGACTGGATTGCCCCAGCCACTCTTGGCAGCTCCCAACAAAATATTAAAAATACAATAAAACATAAAACATTAAAAACTTCCCCATACAATGCATTATATATATACCAATGAGAAAAGGTGAAAATGATAAGCTAAGGATAGAGACACAGAAAGTACCGGTACTTGCTCTAGCCCAGGACTGGGGAACTTTTGGCTCTCCAAACTACAGCTTCCATCAGCCAAAGCAAGCATTGCCAATGGCCAGGGCTGATGGGAGTTGTAGTTCAGCAGCCTCTGGAGGGCCCAAAGTTCCTTGCACTTGTTCTAGCCCATAAAACCACAAGGTCACAATCCTTCCCCAGCCTTCATTTTCCTCCTGCAGTTATGATGGGGGCAGCCACCCTAAATTCAAGTGGGTCTTAACCTTCATTTACAACACATAAGCTGTGTACACACCATATATTTAAAGCACATTTTCATACTCCCCAAAGAATCCTGGGAACCGTAGTTTGCCCCATAGAGCTACAGTTCCCAGTGCCATTAGCAAACTCTGGTTCCCAGGATTCTGTGCTTTTCAGTGTATAGTATGTATGCAGGCACACATGTACATCGATTGAGTTCTGTACACTTGATGGCTGGCCAGAGCGGACTGTGAATTGGCTCCATTAAGAGGCATTGTATTTGAATAACAGAAAGCTTGGGAAATAACTGAAGCAACCTGTTTTTCCTCACTGGCAGCACCTACCACTCTCAAGTGTAGTCAGCTGGTGTTATGCTTAAAGGACTCCGGGCAAAAACAAAAGACTGTGTTGGATCCCCACAATGTTAGTTGCATGTCATTCCCATTACAACAGTCTCCACTGAAATGGAATCAATGGGACCTACGTCCTGGAGAATTACTTGGAACCAACCAAACTATGATCACACCCATTTTCACAACGTGGGAGGATTTCACCCATTATCACAACCACTCCATTAACACTGAAGTCTTGACAAACAGGACTTAAACAATCTGCCAAAACAAGATGCTCTTTGAGAGAATGTGCCCATAACTGCAAACCACTTCTTAGAGAAGCTTGAGGATAACAGAGAGGGTTAATTGATCTGACTGATTTTTTTAAGACTTGCATTGAAGGAAGAGGACTGAACATATTACAGGACAGGGAGCTAGGGATGGAGCTATGAGAGCTATGAGAGCAGCAAAGTGCAGGCTAGCAGGCCATCAGATACCATGGAGACAAATTCAAAAGAACAATAGGGGAAACCCACAGAGGGAAAGCAAAGAAACGCACAAAGTGTGTCTGAAAGCAAAATAATATTTGCAAATTGGCATGTAATGATCCAGCACTGTAAATAGCTTCCCTCTTGTTTTGTCTGCTGATGAAACATGAAGACCAGTACATTTCAACAGCCATTAGGTGACCTTTAATGGAACCCAGGGCTGGCACTGGGTTTCGGCAGAATGAGGCAGTCATTTCAGTTGGCAGATGCCGGGAGAGGCAATTCTGGAGGACAGAGCTATGTGTTCCATGTGTGCTGGCTTGTGGTCTCTAAGCCAGTCTGCTGCCCTTGTGTACAGTGGAGGGTCAATGCTGAAATGAGATCCATCTGCCAGTCCAGTTGGTTTCTGTGTTTTGGATGGAGAAGCAGCATCTTTTCCTTTGACTTAGGCAGCAAAATGACTCAGACCAGTCCTTGCAGGATTTTCTCACCTTGTAGTTAGATCTTTGCATGTGATCATGAAAGAGCGTATCTCTCTGTATCTCGCTTGCGCTCTCTGGTGAGAAAGGATAATAAAGTGTGTTGATGTGAATATTTCCAGAGAAACATTTCGAATATGAAGAACATTGCTGAAAAAATTGGTTCTTCTTTATAGGTTCTTCTCTGTAGCATCCTGACAAGCAAGGGAACACCATTGAAATAAAAGGCCTTCTGTCTTCCTGACAAGGCTACAGAATGGACAAAACACCACTAATCTCCTCCTGAATTAGTGCGGAGGTATGGGAAGAATGTATACCTGTTTACCTGAAGGAGAATCTCCATCCCCATTGTTCACCCCAGACACTGAGGTCCAGTTCTGAGAGCCTTCTGGCAGTTCCCTCATTACGAAAAACGAAGTTACAGGGAACCAGACTAGGGGTATTCTCAGTAGTCGTGCCCGCCATGTGGAACACCCTCCCATCAGATGTCAAAGAGATAAACAACTACACAACTTTCCGGAGGCATCTGAGGGCAGCCCTGTATTGGGAAGTTTTTACTATCTGAAGTTTCATTGTATTTTTACATTCTGTTGGACGTTGCCCAGAGTAGCCGGAGAAACTCCATCAGATGAGCAGGGTTCTTCTCCTTCTTCTTCAGCTGCCCTAGGCATTAGTGTTTCTCCAAAGATTATGGATGGGATAGTTTGGAGACCAACACCCTGTTATGTCCACACCTTCTAAACACATTCACTGAATGTGTCGAGAAGAAGTGTGGGACTGTTGGGCTCTACCTTGTCCATTCAGTAGAAGACATGAACTGAACCCATTTGTGAAGGGATACAACTGTACCTATGTGGACCATATACATGGGCTTCTTTGGCTCTGGAACACTAGCATCAAGAGTCTGGTCCAGTCTCTCAGTTGAAGATACAG